GGGGGGGGGGGGGGGGGGGGGGGGGGGGGGGGGGGGTAGAGGGGTTAGAGGGGTATGTCGGTGGGTTTCCGACAGAGGCGCCGTCCACCCGTCCCGTCCGTCCGTCCGTATGGGTGCATAGGCCTTACCTACCTACCTACCTTGTACTACGCACTTGCGTATGCAATGCATGGCATGGCATGGCATGGTTGGGGGGACTGGGGGAGAGGTAAGGCGACCTGACCTGACGGGACGTGACGGGACGTGACGGGACGTGACGGGACCTGACGGGACGTAACGTGACGTGACGTGTGAGAGTGCATACACACACGTCTATCTATCTGTGTATATATATTATATACCGAGGGAGGGGAGTGGTCGACGGACGGACGGACCGACCGGGTGAGTGAGTGAACACATTTTATCTGTCTATATTGATGGATGGTTGGACTGACCGACGGACGAGTGATTGCCCTGTTGTTTTTCCGCACCATGTGTATGTATGGATGTGTGGTATCGTCGAGCACGGTGATCTATCGGAGAAGGGAGGGGAGGGGAGGACCTTTCAATCAATGACGGCCTGACCGACCGTATATATTGTGTACACAGCCAGGGAGGGAGGGGCGGAGGCGGTGTTGCTGCTGCTGCTGCTGCGTCTGCTGTCACACACACACCCACACCGGCGCCCATCCATCCATCCATCCATCCATGTGGTGCCTGTGGCCGCTTTCATGCTGTATGTGTGATGGATGTCACTCACCTGCTACATACATACCGGCCAACTACACTACACTCTTCACTCTTCACTCTGCCATGTCTGTCATCCTTCGGGACGCACTCACTCTCACTCACTCTCACTCATACTTGCTAGAGAAATGCATACCTGCTCGCACAATCACCTACCTACTCGCAAGCTAACTGGGGGGTCTGGCTGTCTTCCTGCCTGTCTGTCTGTCTGTCTGTGTGCATGTGGATGAATGGCGGGATGGGATGCATTGCATTCATGTCACACACCCACTTGCTGCCAGTCGGTCTGCCGCGCACTCACTCACTGACAGGGAGGAGGAGCCCTACCGGTCTCCCCCCACCCCCCACCCGTCACTCGTCAGCCAGTCCGTCTGTCTGTCCGTCTGTCCGTGTGCGACCGTGCAAATCGCACTCCGACTATCGCAATGCTCGTATGCCGTCCTGTCTTGTGTGTGTCGTCTTTCTGTCGCCCGTCGGTTGTGGTGGCGTCTCTCGTTGTGGTGCGTCGTCTTTGTTTATGGAAGTGAGGGTGGTCAAGGAGAGAAAGGGGGGGGCTTGCAGATGGTTTTCTAGTTTGCCAGCCAAGTGTGTGTCTGTCGATGAAGTCGATCGGTCGATCTTACGCGCGGGGAGAGAGAGATATATATAGAGAGAAGAAAGGCTGATGTTGTCTCGTTGTCGTTACTCTTGGCCTGTGGTCGGGTACTGATGGTCGCAGGACCACGACGGTCGCCTGACTACGAGGCCGATGGTCGTGTCGTGGTTGTGGCTGCTCTACCTGGCTAGATGGATGGATGGATGGATGGAGATCTCGATGGCCAATGGCCAAGTCTGCCTGCGTGCCTGCCTGCATGCCTGTCTGCCACTCATGGATAGCATGTGCTGTTATGTAATTGACGGCTGTAGCGTGGCTGTGTGTGTGTGTGTGTGTGTGTACCTTACGTACCACATTTGTGATCTCTCTCTCTCTCCCCCTTGTGTCTGAGGTCAGTATCTGTGCAACGAATCTGGGGCTGCTGGGTGTGGGTTGTGATGTGGCGTGATGTGCTGGATGGCCTTGCTGTGTGTCGATAATGCTGCGCATGACAATGACGCTCACTTTCTGGGGTGATTTTTACGGATATATACATACATACACACGATGAATGGACTCTCTCTACTCTGCGCCCTCATCCCCCGGCCCCGCCCCGCCTCCTTTTCTCCCGTGTGTGTGTGTCGAGAAATTTTGCCGTTCGTTGCATTCTTTCGCGGATCGATCGTTGTCCTGTCTGCCTGCTGATTTTGTGACGAGACGAGACGAGAGGGAGGGATTTTGCACTCACCAGCTGCCATGCCATGCCATGCCATGCCATGCCAGCATGGCATGCAAGTGCGGCGTCCATGTGTGTGTGTGTGTGTGTGTGTGTCTTGTGGTTGCGAGGGCTGCCTCCGGGCACGCGAGAGAGAGGCGGCGGACACTCACGTAATGATGTCAGAAGGGGAGAGTGTTGCCTTAGTCCACCTGTCTGTTTACTTGCTTTACCTACCTGCCTGCCTGCCTGCTATAGGTCCCTAAGATTTTTCTCTTTGCACACCTGCAATCGGTCTGTCTGTCTGTCTGGCTGTCTCTATGTCTGTCTGTCTGTCTGTCTGGATGGATGGATGCGTGGATTTTTCCTTTTTGGCCCGGCGGACTTGACTGACTTGGATTGTAGGATTTTTTCCTGGCTCGTCATGCTCTCACCTGGCTCGTCCCACTCTATCCTGGTTTTTCGCCCATTGGATGGCACGCCATGGCGTGATCATTACATCAGGGAGTTTTTAAAAGAAGGGATAATGATCGGGCCATCCATCTGTATACCCCGTGCAAGTGCCTTTTAAGTGTCGATGGGGTGGATGGATGTTGGCAATGGGGGTGCCTGCCTGCCATGCGCCTCGATCGACACGTCCAGATTGGATGGATGGATGGATGGATTGGCTTATCCATGGTGTGTGTTCTGGTTTCGCTGCTTCTTCAGTCTCCTTGCTACGCGTTGCTGGCATCCAGACATCCTCTGGATGCCGCGAGCCGTGGCGGGGAGGAGGAAGAAGCAGAGAACCAGATGCATCACCAAATCTGTGCGTCTGGCGCAGAGACGGACCTTCGGAGGGTTTTGAGAGCTTTCTGTTCGGCGTGATGACCCAGGTCTGCCTAGCTCAACTCTTGCATACCATCCCAGTATCCCTGCTGCCCACGACTGACCTGACCTCTAGCCGCGTCTGTTGTCTCCGGTGTTGGCTTGGGTTTTTTCCTCTCTCTCTCTCTCTGCATTGCCTGCCTGCCTGCCTACCTGCCTACTTGATGCGTCGGATGCGTTGGTTGGGTGTGACTGGGTGGGCGGACCATGGCTGGCCGTGCAGATCAATCAATGGCATTCAAGTAGTCATCCATGTACAAGCACACACGCAATGATTGCAATCAGTGTCGCGGCAAGGCAAGGCAAGAGAGAGAGACAGGCATCGCATCGATCGCATCAGACACACACACGCACACGGACACACACACAGCTGATCATGGTCAGACCATCCATACACACGCCGCGTCACGCCACCGGCACGACAAATGTCAACTCACACCACACCCTCACACCCTCACACCCACTCCTCACGCCGAGAGACAGAGCTATCACATTCCTCCTTCCTCCTCACCTCACCCCACCACGTAGTGGCCTGGCCTCGATTCACCTTCCTCGGGAACGGTGAACGCAAGCGAGCCTGCCTGCCTGCCTGCCTCGAATGAATGAGTAAGTATGCAAGTATTGTATGTATGGATGGCACCACAACACACAATGGTTTACATAAGTGAGGGCGAGCACTGAAAGACTCCATATACCCGACAGACAGACAGCCACCCAGCCACCGAGAGAAGTGTCGAAAAAGCCAGCGGGAGGAGGGAGGGAGGGAGGGAGAGAGAGGGGAGGATATCGACAGCATGTCAGCCAGTCAGAATGGGTAGAAACCGATTCAGGGTCACCAGGCGAGAGGGAGAGGGAGAGGAAAAGTCCGTGTGCAAAAATGAGAGCCAGTGGAGGAGCAAGACACGAGACCAGATAGGTAGGGTCCATTGTCTCCATTCATTCACGTTCGTTCGTATGATGGATGTACGCCACTGCTATTATGATACATGTGACACAACTCTGACAGACACGCACAGCCGCCCCGCCCCGCCCGCCTCTCAAGGACGAGACGAGACGGGGCGGGACAAGACCTGGCCTGTGTGTGTGCAAAACCGACCTGACCTTCCCCGCTCGCCCTGTCCCGACACAGTCCATGCGGCCCGGCGGGTGGGCAATACGAGGCGGACCAGGACGACCCGACCAGACGAGACAGACACCATTCAAATAAAGCAGTGTGTATGCAGACGAAGGAAAAAACTGTCAACTCGACCCCCAGCTGCATCCATCCCTCTCCTCTCCTCTCTCCCGAAACACCCTCCATCCATCCATCCGCTCGCCGTTGTCGACTCAATCATTCAGTCAAGCCAACCTTATTGAGGTGCGTGCCGTCACACTGCGATGCGATGCTAGCTGTCCCCCTCCCGCATCGCCCCCGCCACCTCCTTCCTCCCACCCACACCAGAAGTACCAGCACCGCTGCCCCAGGCCGTCGAGTTGGTGTGCGCGTCACCGGCCGGCACGGCATGGACACTGGCGTTTGGGGAGCTTTCGTCAGGAAATGCGCACCACGCAGGCCCTCCTTCGGCTGCTCCTGCCGTCATGACGACTTGCTCCTGTGTCCATGGCCCCCTCATCCACGACGACTCAGTGCTGCTGCCGCCATCTGCAGCGGGCGCCGCGTCATGCCTCGGCGACTCGAACGTCGCCCACCCTGTGACAGCGACGGGCGCAGACGCATTGTCGCTTGGGGGCTCTGCAAAGGGATCGGCGAGTGCCTGGCCGTTGGTGGCTGCCTGTGGCGGCAGCGATGGCCGTATGGGGGAGGGAGAGGGAGAGGGCATGTAGGGGGCGGCCTGCGGCTGGAGCGGCGGGGAGGACGGCGGCTGCTCGTGTGCGTTGCCCGCCACCCCCGGGTCGGGGCTGATGGCCGCCTCGCCCTCGCTGGAGGAGCTGTCGTCGTCATCATCGTCATCGTCGTCTTCTTCCCCCTCGCCCATGTCGTCCTCCTGCGCCCTCTTGCCACCCCCACCGCTGTACGGGTCTCCCAGGCTCATGGGCTGCATCACCGACCGGTCTTTTGGGGGCGTCGCTGCAGGCAGGCCGGGGCTGTCCGTGTCGGGCTCTCGCAGGATGGTGGCGCTCACGCGGGACCTCTGGTCACCTGCCGCAGCAGCGGCGTCGTGCGCCGTGTCCTCCTGGAAGCTGGCGAAGGGGTCGGAACCATCGCGGTTCGACGGACCAAGGTCAAAATCCTCATCACTGACCAAGCACATAGAACAAACACATCAGTGCGACACCTTCATATACTTGTGTGGATGTGCCTCAAGGCCTTGACTCACTCTTCGTGCCAGTCGAAGGGCTCTGGGCTCCTTGCCATAGCTGTGGGTGCGGGTGCGGTGGCCGCGGCGCTGCTGCTCCAGGTGGGCCTCTGGCCGCCCAGCCAGGTCATGTTGTCCTCTCCACTGCTGCCCGGCCGATCCACCCGCCGCACACCGGCGTGGTCGCCACCGAAATGGGGAACAAACTCTGAGCCAAGAGCAGAAAAACAATGCCCTCCTGGCCTTGGTGGGACCATCGTTCTTTTTCTTTTGCCGACTGACCATCATCGGTGTCGAATGGGTTAGATTCGCTGTCCATCGGCGCGGATCTACTTGCAGTGCCCTCCACCGGCGACCTTTCAGGCGAGAAGGAGGCCGTCCAGCCCCCATCCATCACCTCCGCCGGTGGCGCATCCGCCCACGCCGGCTTCGGGGGTGAAGCAGCCGGCTGCTGTGTCGCTCTTGGCGCGCCCGTGACCTCCTGCGGCGTGTGGGCTGGTGGTCGGCCCGATGATGTCGATGGCGACGTCGCAGCAGCAGCGGCGGGTGCAGGTGCAGGTGGAGGGAGAAGACCAACGCCTTGGAGAAGACCAACGCCTGGTGGGGGAAGACCAACGGGTGGGGGGCCTAGCGGCTGGGGGCCAGAGGGAGGCGACCCAGGGCCACCCTGGAAGCACACACGCAGACACCCATCAGGGTGCTGGTGTGTGGGTGTCTGGTGCAGCCGCCGCACCTGTCTGTGTAGTTCCTCTTGGGTGTTGAGGATTTCCTCCACTTCGGGTTCGGCAACGGGCACGGCCTGGGGCACCGACGCCACCCAGCCTTCGTCACGCATCGGGCCGCTCGCCGAGGATGGCGGAGGGGGCGGTGCAGCGTTGGCCGCGTGGGGCAGGGGACCAGCCAGATGGTTGCCCTGAGTGAGTGGGTGAGATGGAACAGGCCAACATGGATGTATAGGGAGAGACGTGGCAGCGCGTGTGTGTGCGTATGGTTGCGTACTGGTGCGGTGAGTGTGGCGTAGTCTTTGATGATTTCACCGACGGGCCTCTCGTGCTTGAGTGTCTGCCAATTCCAGCCCTCCGTCTCGTTGAGCAGCTCCTGGATCTGAGGAATGGACAGACAGATACAAACGATCCCATCACACACACACCCATTCACACAAGTGTATGGGTACCGTCTGTCTGTCTGTCTGTCAGTCTTACCCATGGCGTGTGTTGGGCGGCCATGTGTAGGTGATGGCCAATGGTCATGATGTGCGATATGTAGCCCACCGTGTCGCCCTTCCGCCGCCAGCCCCGCTCGGGACGCGTGTGCCAACGCCTGGTGGATTGGATCAACGGACGGACAATCACACGGATATTAGGTGTTTGGTTCGTATCAGAGGTTGGCACAGGGTACCTACCTGATGGCCTTGACGGTTTGCGATAGGAAAGCTGAGTCCCTGAGGAGGGACTCGACCAGCTCGGGGTGCTTGTCGGCCAAACTGATGGCCTCCAACGCAGCCGACCTGACACACCCACAGGCAGGCAGGCAGGCAGGCAGTCACTACTGTGTATCTTCCTCCGTATGGGTGTACATGGCTTACTTGACGTCATTGTGCAGCAGGTTGTTCCATTCAAACTCGAAAAAGGCCGAAATGCACAAAGGAAACACACCCTCAGACACAACCGCAGCCACCACCTCCTGCAATGCAACAAACCACACACATTCACACCATACACGCCATTGATTGAAACCAACCATTCTCTACGACAGATACCCACCTCCTTTCTGGTCCGGATGAGCGCGGTCCACAGGCTGACAATCCCCAAAGCAGTGGAGCCCAGCGGCCGCTGCCCTCCCCCAGCCGGCATGGGTATCGCCTTGCCCCTGGCGGCCAGCAGCTCGCTCTCAAACAGCTCCCGCATCCGGCGTATCTGAGGACACACGGCCTCTGCCACGTAGTCAATGGCCGATGGCTGCGGGGGGGAGGCACCCTCTGGCTCGGGCGTGGCCGCCGGACGCTCGGGGGGCACCTCTTCTTGCTCTCGTTGTTGTTGTTGCTGCTGCTGCTGCTGGGTGGGGGCCTCCTCACTCTCTCTCTGCTGGCCAGTGGCGACAATGGCGTTGGCTGTTTGTCGGAGGGTATCGAGAGTGCCGTTGGCTACCGCAACCTCCTCCTCAGGGGCCGCCGCCACGACCGGCGGGGAGCCGTCGGTGGCGTCGTCTTGGGACGCCTTGACTACCGGCATCGGCGGGGCCTCCTGCTCTTGCCTCGAGTCGTTTTCGGCAGCGTGGGTGGCCTCGGGCTCTTCAGTGATGGGCGTGGGGGGAGGGGAGAGGGGAGTCTCGTCCTCGGTGGGCTGGGGGGGCTGGGCGTGGTCGTCGGTGCTGTCTGGCAGGACGATGCGCACGCTGTCCTCCGGAGTGCCGTGGTGAAGGGCCTCCTCCTCTTCATGCTGATCTTGCTGGTCCTCCTCCTGCTCCTGCTGCTGCTGCTGATCCTCCCCCTCCTGCCGCTGTAATTGATCATCGCCAGCGGGTCTTTCCCTTGGAGGAGTCTGGATGGCGGCGGTGGTGTGGTGGATGAGGTCTGATAAAATCGACACGGCTTGCGACACCAATATCGGGTCCTGAGGCACACGAAGCCGTGCCGTGGAGAAGGTGTGCTGTCTGTCTGTCTGTGTGAGTGAGTGTGTGGTCTTCATGTGTGTCGGGTCTGTACGTTTTGGAAGAGGCAGTCGACGAGGTGGTGTGTGCATTCGGTGGACGTGAGCTGCTGCATCAGGGCGGGCGCATAGTACACCGACTCATACTTCTGCAGGAACATCCGGATGATCACCGCGACGTTCTCCGACACCTGAACCCCACCAAACAACACCGCCACCACCACCACCACCACCACCCAACACATGAGTCAATCACACACATGACATGATGTGTCCCTCCCTGTCTGTCTGTCTGTCTGCGTACCTCTCCCACTCTGTCCTGGGGGTTGTCGTTTTCGGGTATGAGTCTTTGTACGATGCGCATCATGAGCGGGCTGCCGTGCCGGTCGGACGTGTCGAAGACGGCCTGCGGCTGCTCCTCCACACACAGGTACGTCACGAACAGATCCGTGATCGACCGGCTCCCCAGCTTGGCCAAGAAACCATCCAAGAGATCTTCCTTGCCACGGAGGTAGGACACCAGCTGAATGAATGAACGAGTGAACCAGGGAGGGACGGAGGGACGGAGGGAGGAGGGACACACAAGGCAAACGATTGGTTGGTTGATGGATGGATGGATGGACAACATTCGTGTGCTGTGCTGTGCTGTGTGGAGTGGGTGTGTCGGGTCACCTGGCTGGTCTCTGTTGGCTTCTGCGTGTTGATGGAGGTCCGCATGAACAGCGAAGTGCACACACGCGCAAAGTACCCCGCCAGCACGTGATTCAGCTGCAGCCATCCATTCACCATCACGACACACCACATGTCATGGATCAGCAGATAGATACTTTGGTGTCTGTGTCTGTCTGTCTGTCTGTCTGTCGCTCACCGCGTTGGGTTGGTAGAGGAAGTCCCACAGAGCGTCCAGCACCGGACGGTTCTCAGGGTCGAGGAACGCCCTGACGACATCACACAAGCGATCGATCATCGGTAGGCAATGCTACACAGGCCTGTGTGTGTCGGGTGCGCACTGTAGGATGCGATCATTCTCCTGGCAGACCACTTCGGTCGCCATGAAGGGGAACCTGACAGACAGACAGACACACAGACAGACGGACAGAGAGAGCAGTACAGTGATGTGAATGGTGGGTTGGTGGTGTGGATGCGGTTGGCCATCGGTCGCTCACTTGTGTCCCCTGTTCTTATCAGCATCATCGGGCGGCACCACGACAATGTACTCCACCAGCCTCTCCAGCGAATCACGACGACACAAACTGATGTATGCAGGTCACACCACACAGACGCACAAGGCACAGACAGGCAGACACAAGACAAGACACACACCGTCGCGCATTCACTTGGGTGTCCGTCGTGTTTGCTTCTGTCTGTCTGTCTGTCCTCATGTGATTGCTCACAAGTCGACGACTTTGGCGTTGTTGCTTTTGATCTCCTGGATGAGCTCGTCGAGGTCGAGCAGTTTGTCCAGGGTGCAGTCCGCCGCTTCCACTATCTCGTCCACATTCACGCTCGACGCCTCCGGGCCGCCAAAGGTGCTCCAGAACAAACCACCCATTTGACCCATGCCACCCTGGTTCGGCTCCATCACTCAACCTCACACACACTGATAAGTAGATAGATGATGATATAGATGACGTCACTCACACCAGCTCACACGCACCACCAGAGCCTGAAGCTGTCGACGTCACGTGACGGCCGCACGAGCAGCATCACTCTCAAAACCATCTCCCTTCTCGCTTCTCGAGCTCGCACTCCTGTGCGAGCTTGGCCTTCCACCGACCGTGTTTTTCCCAGCTTTGACGCGATGGAACGAAACATCGTCGGTCGCGCTGTCGGTGCTTTAGCATCCTGGTGGAGCGGGTCCAAGACCGTCCCGCCTCGAATCCTCAGCGACAGCAACCAGCCAGACCCTGAGACAAGCACTGACGAAGAGCCGCAAACGACCCGCGGTGATGCAGCGAGGGGAAGCCGCTTGGTTCCCCGGCCTCGACAGCAGGAGGGTGACGATGGTGATAATGCTGGACGGGTGGACTACTACGACCACTGGTCAGTGGAGAGGAGTCGTGTCGTGCATGCAATGCAATGCATTCCATTCATTCACTCACTCGCGGACCGTACCGATTGTCTGTCACTCATTGACTCACTGACTGACTGCGATGTCTTGTGTCTGTTCGGTCAGGCACTCGGCACCTCCCACTTCAGCTCGGTACCCTTATTCGAGTGTGGCTCGAGAGCTGCTTGCGTCCTCCCGCTCCCGCGAGAGGGGATCTCCGACACGTGCACTCCCACGGCCGTCGTCGCCGACGCGCGCCACCGGCAGGCTGTCCCCTCCCCGCGAGCACGTTCCGGACATGGCCGTATTGCGTCAAGCGTTTGAGGAGCTCCGCGTCACTGCAATGGAGGAGCTCCGCACCGCTGAGAGCAGGCCACCCGAGCCATCAGCGCAACCGTCATCTGCCGGAGCCAGGAGTGAGGGCGGGTTTCAGAATCCCGTGGATGGTGATGGTCCCTTCCTGAGGATTGGCAAGTATCGATCGCCTGTCGGTGAGGAGGGTCGGGATTGGGCGGCTGAGGGCTCCAGCTTTGCCGATGAGGAAGACGAGGACGAGAGCGAGCGCCTGGACGAGTCCGACCGTGGGCGTGAGCGTGATCGTGAGGAGGGGGAGGGGGTGAGGGTGAGGCGGGCGTTCCGCTCCATTGTCGACTACGACCCTGACGAGATCTATCCCGACGAGTCGGCCAGCAACGCCCCACCCACACCCCACTTCGCACTTCACCTCCCCGACGGCCCCCTGGAGCGCAGCGAGTCTTCCGACGTCGCCAGCGCCGCTGGTAGCGGAGCCGCAGCCGAGCCGACAGACATCACGTCAGACCGCCCACCCCCCGACTACTGCCCCTCTCCCGCCCCCTCATTCGGCGGCCCCTCAGCCGATTTCTTCCTCCGTGTCTGCGAGGACGTCCTGGAGCCAGCCCGCGACGCCCTCGCGAGAAGCTCCGAGGCCACATCGAACGGGCTGCTCACCCCCACAGTGCCGTTTGTCTCGCCATGGGGCGCGGAGGGGACGGAGGCCAGCCAGGACGGCAGGAGGACGACCAGACGCAGAAGGGGCCCGCGGCAGCCCGGCCCTGGTGCCTTCCAGTTCCCCGCCTACGTGTTGCGCGACAACAGGCTGCCACCCGTCACTGAAGAGCGCGAGAGGGAGGAGCGGGAGCGGGATGGCGGGGAGGATCCGACGTCGGATGTTCCCGTGGCCGGGTCGACGAGTGACCTGCGTGCGATGGAGTTGCGTCGCGAGATGGGTGTGGGAGTGGGGCCGCCGGCTGTGGTCCCGGATGGCGATGCCGTGCGTGGGATGGGGTGGCTGCAGGAGAGGCTGAGGGAGATTGAGGTTTTCCAGACACTCACGGCTGAGGCGGGCAACCACCAACAGCTCCAAAGGATCGCCGAATGGGAGGTGCGCACCTAGACACACATACATACGCACACCGGTGACACACGCATGGACGTGTACCTGTGTGTGTGTGTGTGATGAGTTGCAGCGACGTGCGACGGCCCAGTTGGAGGCAAGGGCGAATGCTGACCGCACGGCCGTCCAGGAGGAATTCGAGTAAGACAGACACTCAGCGCGGCGAACGGAGGGGCCCACTCGTTGTCGTGTGTACGCGTCTGTGTTCGCAGTGAGTCCATTGGTGTGCTTGAGCGTTTGCGGGAGGAGGATACGGAGCAGCAGGAGGAGCAGAGACGCGAAGAGGAACGCCAGAAGGGTCAGCCCAACCAGTCCGCCGGCATCCCTTCTGTGGTGGATGCGATGCGCACGTGCCTGTGTGTGCTTCTGTCTGTCTGTCAGCTGAGGAGGAGGAGCGTCAGAGGAAAGCCCAAGAGGTGCGCGTCACGACACACAGCCACACAGCCACAGACATCAACATGTGCAAATTAAATGAATCTGTTGTGTCATGTGCCTGCCTTTCTCAGGAGGCTGAGCGGCAGCGGCGCGAAGAGGAGGAGGCCGAAAGACAGCGCAAACTCAAGGTCGGTCGGTCGGCCGGCCGGCCGGCCACATACTCACTCCTTCACTTCACCATATCTACTAATTAGTTCTTTCCCTCCCCTGTCTGTCTGTCACATTAGGAGGAGGAGGACGCCCGGAGGCGTGCTGAAGAGGAGGCGCGGAAGAAGGCCGAGGAGGAACAACAGCAGAGTCAGCAACAGCAACAGCAACAGCAAGCTGCAGCAGCAGCGGCAGCAGCTGCAGCCCAGCCCGCCGTACCCACCCCCACCCCCACTCCCCCACCCGCCCCCGGTGCTGCCCCTGCTGCGGCCGCAGCAGTGCCTCCAGCGGGCCCCCCTGCCTCAGCAGCGGGTGAACCGGCCGACGTGCAAGCCGCCCTGGCGCTTAAGAGCAAGGTGGAGCTCCTCAAACAGGAAATGGACAGAATCAGAGCCAGCGGCACAAACCAGGTAGGTAGGTCGGAGGGTGGGGGGTCGCTATCCGCTGAAACGGACCATGATGGATGTTGGCATTATGTGTGTGTGTGTGTGTGTGGTGTAGGAGAAGGCGATGCGTCGCGAGACGTGGAAGGTGGTGGCGGACTGTGTCAATCGCACCGCCGGCAACCAACAGTCCGTCAGACAGGTGAGTAAACCGCACACACAGACAGACAGACAGAGAGACAGACAGACAGACAGGCACACAGACGGACAGACAGACAGACAGACAGCGAGCCAGGGACAAATGTGTGGGACCTTGTGTGCATATCTATCAGGTAGCTGAGGGCATCTCAGGGCATGCGGAGCAGGTGCGGCGCAGCGGGGCCGACACCAAGTTCTTGGACTATGTCTTCCTGCGGGTAACAAAGAGGGAGGGAGGCGCAACGACCTACCTGTGCACACAAACGTCAGTCAGTTGTTCCCATTCGTTCTTTGCTGACGACTGACTGAATCAGATGGCTGAGGCACTGATCAACGCCTGTGAGGACCAGGTAAGGTACTATCACGGCGCAGAAAGAAAAAAGGGCAATGACTCGCCCGGCTCGCCCCATTGTGTGCCTGTGCGTTTGTCATGATCATGACAGATCCGAAGAGCTCCCGACAGCCACTGGCAGTTTGCGTGGGCCATCTACGGGTACACAGCACAGCAGCACTCACCGGCCATTCACCCACCCCCTCGCCCCCTCACCCACTCGCTGTGGATGTCTCTGTCTCTTTGTCAGTGTGTTGAGTCGCTTCCCTGATAAGGAGGAGATCTTCGCGGGCCGCATCTACCAGGAGTGCACATACGCCATACCATTCCTCGTACCAATCGTAAGCCGCCCCCTCCACACACACCTCACCACATCACAGAACACCTCACTTCATCCCTATCTCCGGTGTGTGCATCAGAGCGGCAACGTCGAGGCGGGCCGTCGGCGTCGCGGTCAGAAGGACGGCGAGTCCGACGAGGACTTCTTCGACCGCATGTGTCCCATCCTGCGCGTCTGGCTGGCCTACCTCGTCATCAAAGCTGAGATGTCTCGCAACCCCAACTCAAACGAGTGGGGGGCGGTCTGGCAGTGGTGGGCGCGGCTCGGCAACCGCCTGGTGGACCGCACGCAGCGGAGCGGCCCCATGCTCATTGTGACGGCACTCAAGGTCACCGCGTTCTTCTGCATGAAGCGGTTCAAGAGACAGTTCAGACAGGTAGCTACGGATGGATGTCGGTGCCTTGGCCGTTGGGGTGGGGGGTGGGGGGTGGGTTGTGGGGCCATTGGTTGGCTGAGTGCGTCCGTGTGTGTGAGTGTGTGTGTGTGTTTGGTGTTGGCTGCTGGTGTGGTGTGCAGCTGTTGTCGTTCATCAACCAGAACCTGTGGGACAAGTTCAAGCGCATGGCACGCGAGTCCGTCCGTTTTCCAAACACACCAACAGACTCAGCCAGCCGCCATCTTATGCTGCCTGCCTGCCTAACTGCCTGCCTGTGTGTCTGTATGTGTGTCTGTGTGCAGCAACCCTGAGGGCATCGGCATCTACGTCGTGCAGTGCGAGACATTCCTCGAGACAGCGCAGTAAGCCACCAACACACCACACTGGCGTGCCTGACGACCCACACCTCGTACTGTGTGGCTGGGGGCTGGGTTGGTCACTTGGTGCTTTCAGGCGGAACGGCTTACGTTTCGAGGAGCCAGCCGGCTATCGCATGATAGAGAGACCAGCCGAACTCAACCCTGACGTCTGACTGAGGCGCGGGCATGCACCCATGGATGGATGGATGGATGGATGGGGGTACCCAGGGTATCCTGATTTCGCTGCTTGGGATAGGCGCACGCGATGTATTGTTGGGCATTCAGACACCCTCTGGATGCCGCGACCCAGCGCGGGGGTCACACCCAAGCAGCGGCATCGCCACCCGTGATTGCATGATTTGGGCTGTGTATCTACCAGTGAGTGACAGCGTACGTACGGTTTTTGTCCGTTCCGGGAACACCCTGTGGCCAATGGGGCCACCTGACTTGACGCATGTATGTAAACCTACCAAGTGAACAGCGTCCGTCCGAGATCCTTCCTGTACACAGACAGCCACACACACATGCACTGCACGCCAAGCATCTGCCAACACTTACACACACAGCCTGCCTCGCAAAGCCAGTGAGTGCTGCACTCACTGCACATGAGATCGTCCACCCAGCCCAACGTATACACACACATTCCCCTACAGATCTCATCTCTGTCTGTCTGTCTTGTCTGCACCCTACCCACCCCACCCCCCCAGCTCCACCTTCCCCCTCCCTCACTGAGGCGTGTCCTGCCTGTTGATGCTCATGCTCCACCAGCTCATGTCATCCTCTATTTGACCCGCCGCACCCTCGATCAGCGAATACAGTGTCTGCCTGTCCGGGTCTCCCCCGCTGGCCACCATCTGCCGCTCGCCCCTCAGTCTGCTATTCCGCAGCATCGTGAAAAAGACCACCTCCTCGGCGGACAGGTCGGGGTGCCACATGTCGATGATCAAGACGAACCGCGTCACGGGGCCGTCGTGCCACACCTCGTGGGAGAAGGAGTCGTCGAAGACATAACACCGGCCCTGAGAGAGGATGGATGACACACACGCGTCACTTTAGAGGAATGGATGGATGGATTGATGGACGCACAGACATGTGTTTGTGCTGGCTGATTGACCTCGGTGGGCGTGATTGTCTGGTCACCGACACGCAGTCTGGTGCCCTCAAGACCCATGATCGGCTGCAGGCAGGCCAAACACACAAACAAATCGACCGACCGGCACATGGGCCATCTTGCCTGGACTGGATGCATACGTACCAGGTGTATTCTCAGTTTCTTGTTGGTGGGCCCGTTGTGAGCCCGGATGTGGGTGCCGGGCGTCATGGCACTGAACAGGGCGTGGCTGCAATGCAGCCATGCCACACACATGACATGACATGACATGACATGGCAGACAGGGGCAGAAGACCCGGCAGACAGCGCCGCCCGCCTACCAGTATTGCCTGGGGATGCTCTGGATGAACTCGACTGTCCGCGGGCACAGCGCCACGTTCTCAGGGAAGGGCTGCGGACAGCAGGACACACAGACAGACAGACAGACAGACAGACAGCACCATGAAGTCAAACACCCCCGTGCTCCTCTGTCTGTCGTCACTCACCTGGTTGTGCAGCAGCAGATACAGCACATTCCAGTCGCCGCCCTCGTGGCTCGCCTGGCCGGGCACGCCATCGCCTTCCGATGAGGAGCTCGCGGCATCATTGCCAGCTCTCTGACGTATCGGACCCCTGAGAGGGCACAAAAAACCCGTGTCGAGAACAACGGAGTCCATTTCCATGGTGCCTGCCTGACGCCTGGTCATCTATCTACCTGTAGGGCTGAAAAGTCTGTCTGCCTCTGAGGGCGAGGAGCTCCTCCTTTATGACGGGATGAAGGGCCTCCAGCTGGCTGATGAACGGAAACATATCGGCGGGCCACACTGCGTACACACACATTCACACACGACAAGGAGAGAACCAACCAACATGTGTGTGTGTGCCACGCACGCCACGTCGTGTTGTGTTGTGTTGTGTGACCTGGTCTGGGGGTGAGTTGTGGGATGATCTCTGGGCAACCTCGCTGGGAGGGATGGGGGTCCACAGGTCGACGAATGCCCATCTTCTGAAGCAACCTGACATGGCATACAGAGGGAGGGCGACGAACATCCATCCATCCCTCCATCCATCCATTGGCTGGATGTCTCTATTCATCGCTCACCAGGCTCTCGCCCGTTCACACTGATCGAAAGGGAACACACACACAGCACAGCACACCACACCAACTGGGTCAGCAAAGAAGTGCGTGTCCATATGACCGACCTTATCGTTGCGGCCGTCAGCGATGCACCTCCGCACGAACGAGCCGAATGCGGCCCTATGGAGCGGCGGGAGAAGGTACTCATCCATGACCTCCTCCATCCTCCGCCGGACCCGCTCCTCCAGCGTGCCCATGAGTTCTCTTCTCCACAAACGAACAGATCTACTTCATCCACATGTTATACTGACCCTCCTGTGCGTCATCGGTCCCTCGGCAGCCAAGGGGAAGTGCAAAGCGGGGAAACGATCCGCTGCGAGCTAAGTGTCCTGAGCTCAGTTTGGTGCGCAGCTCTCTATCTGCAAATGGAGTTCTTTAAGAGGATAAGATCGTGGCAGCCGGCATTCACGGCATGCGCTGCTCTGCTCTGCGTCTGCTTCCGTCGCGCCGCCTCTCTCCGGCCACCGTCGTCGGCATTCGTCGTCTCGCCATCAGCCCCTTTCAGCACTCAAACAAGACGGACAATGCCCCTTGGGAGTGGGGCGCGGCAGCAGAATGTCATGATGACCTCAACGGTGATGGAGCCGGCTGTGTCTACTGTGGATGAGGAGAGCCCGAAGGCATATGCGGGGGAGCTGAAGCCTCTCACCAATGCCTCGGCGACGGTTGTGTGCATCGTCCCTGCTGCTGGCCGTCCCGGGCACAAGAGCCACTTCCTGACTAAGCCGTTTAAGGAACAGGTGGAGTGGCCGGATGTGCTGCAGCACATGGCAGAGCGGCTCACATGGAGCAGCCCCAACTTCAAACTCAAGGTACACTGACCGGGGGGATGGATGAGCTTCGCCATAACACACACACTGAGCTGACGCCTTGAACTGTGTCCAGATTTTCACCGAGGATGTTCTCTCGTCGCCCACTGCCCCGTCCAACCTTTCTGCCGCCCTGTCGAATGCCAACATCCTTCTCACGCTCAACGTGCACGACCGGCAGGCCCTCACCAACCTCAAAGCCATCGTCACCAACACACAGATGGGCTCGCGGACCAACGAGAGTGCCCCCTTTCTCCCCACCATCCTCTCATTCGGCCTAGGCGGCCGCAGCTCGCCCGTCGAGAGCCTGCAGAGGATGGGCGGCACTCCTGTGGGCTCCTTCGTCCGAAAGGTGAGCGCGCGAGTGGCGCCATGGTCGCGGGTGAGCCGTGCGTTGAAGACGAAGCGGGTGCTCGACATTCTATGGCAGCGGCGCAGTTCGGACGACCTGCTGTACTTTATGGAGGTGCTGATAGACAGCTATGTGGCTGACATTCCTCTGGTTAAGAGCCAGCTGGGGATGAAGGAAATGGGGAGTGGGGTGCTCAAGTGCATGTGGACCAACTGCCAGGACCAGATCATCGAGTGCATGAAGTCGCCGGCCTGCCGACAGGCGCTATTCTGCCTCACCAACTGCCCACTCAACGACCAAGTAGACAGACAGACAGAGAGGGAGGACAGCTGGCCCATTGCTCACGAGCAGACACACGAGTGTGGGTGTGTCTGTCGTGTCGTGTGTGGCTGTTCGTTCAGGTGTGCACCTACCGTTGCATCGTGACGCACGAGAGCCCTGCCTTTGAGGCCTTCTCTCTGTGCATCCTGCAGAAGCACAACTGCCTCAACAACTCGGCCCCCATCCCCGTGTACCCCCGCCCCGAGCCCCTCCGTACCTTCAAAGGCAAACCCCTCACCTACGAGTCCGCAGAGGACATCTACGTCGGGTGGCTTGGCCAAGATCCCTGGAGCTGGAAGGTCGTCGCCGGCAAGAATCCCGCTTATGGTACGGTACGCACCTCACCCCCACCCCGCCCTGCCCCTCCCCACACACATGCATCTTCTTGCTCATGGCGCGTTCCTCCCTCGCCAAACTGTCACATGGACGGTGTGGTGTGTGGTGTGATATGTTTGTTAACACAGACTTCTTCCCCAATCAGCACCAAATCTTCTACAGGGGCAAGAGGTCCGCATTCTGGTATGACCCGGTCTTCCGCGTGACCACCTATGACGGCCGCGTCGTGTGGCGGAGGCGGCACTATCGCGTCAAGCGAGCCGCGGAGCCGGGCACCTTCTGGTTCTCTGTGCTGGACAATGGGGTGACGTCCAATGAGTACTGGACGATCCTCGACTGTGCCGACGATTTCTCCTGGGCGATCTTCCACTACTCGGGGGCGGCGTCTGTGGCTGGCCAGCAGTACCGTGGTGCTTTGGTGGTGAGCCGGGATGGGGCGTGGCCCAAGATCGACGGCATGGAGACCCGCAGGAGGATTGAGGCGGCACTCGATAAGGCCGGCGTCAAGACATGGGTAGGTAACACAGACACACCAAGCCAGCAGCACTGATGGATGGATCCATTGCTCTGCTCTCTGTGTTTGTGTGTGCAGGAGTTGTATGAGGTGGTCAATGATGGTTCTGAGGGTGCACCCTTGGGGCTGCCGGACAGCGGGGCGCCGATGGCTGAGCAGTACCAAGAGGTCAGGCCGCCACAGCAGCCGGTGCAAGCTGCAGTGGCATGAGTGGGGATGTGAGTGTGTGTGTGAGTGTGAGTGTGTGTGAGAGAGGGGTGCGTCAGTAGGCAGTTGTCATGACGAGATGTGACGTGACATGACGTCGTGTAGTCAGTGAGGTCCAGCCAGGGGCGGTCAGTGTGTATTTCTTGGGTATATAGGCAGAGAGACACGTTCACTGAGCGGTCGATTTCTGGTGTGAGAAGCGAGCGACAAGTGTACGTTTCTGTGTCAAGGGTTGGTTGTTGTGTTGATGCTTGTTGCCGTGGGGAACTGGTGCACATCTGTCTGTCTGTCTGGGGAACTGGTGCACATCTGTCTGTCTGTCTGTCTGTCTGTACAATGATTAGGCAGACACACATGACACGAACATGCAATGGAATGCAATGCAGGTCATTTCTCCATGGCAAGATCTTATCGCACACACACACACACACGCACACGCACACGCACACAGACACAGGGGCACATGACATGCTGCAATGAACGATCGCATGCAGGATGGACTACTGCAACTATACGTGTAGGTATAGCGCCATCCCCCCAACCCTTAATTGCCACACAGACATGGATGGGCAAGCTTATCCGACTCTCTCTCCCTCTCTCTTTCTCTCCCTCTCTCTCTCTCTCTCTACGTGTGGCGTGGTCCCCATGCTCTAATTGTCGTGTCCATCCATCCATCCATCCATCAGTTGTCGTCATGTCCCTCCCATTCGAGATGTGTGCCCTTTGCTGAGCAGCGCATCCAACATGTGCTCGGCACTCTCGTCCTCCGCATCACCTGCCTCTGCCTCATCGCATGTGCCGCCGGCCGCTCCCATGTTGTCGCTCGATGGCTGTTGGCCCGTCGTCGACTGCATGATGGCCGATGGGAGCTCCTCAGGTGAATGGGGTGTGGGGGGTCGTTGGGGCTGCTCATCCTCCGCCAGGCCGATGCTCGAGTCCATGCTGCCGCCCTCCAGCAGGCCGCCCTCCAGGTCGAGCGACACTCCGCTAATCACACTGTCCGCACTGTCACGGAGGCCGTCTAGGGCCCTACTCCGTCCAAACAGGTCGGGAAAGAGGCTGCTGCCGGTGCCCCTGCTGATGCCTGGGTCGCGGTAGTTGATCTCTCGGGACAGCCCCAGCAGTGTGCTGGATGCCGGGAGGGTGTCGGTCTTGTCTCCGCCCCCCAGCCGGCGGAGCATGTCGTCGAATCTCTCTATCCCCACACCCACGCCGCCCTCCCGCACGTCGAGCAGGGGGTCCGTCGTCTCTGTCTTCTCTGTCTTCTCCCTCTCCCCTGTATCCTCCCCCTCTCTGCCATCGCCATCGCCATCGCCATCGCCATCGCCTTTGTGTCCCTCCTCCTCGACGACCCGCCCCCATCTCCTGTTTGTCCGTGTGTCGGTGTCGTGCTCCTCCGTGCGGTCCTCGCGCGCCTGGCCCTTGGGTCTGTCGTCCTGGTTGTGGTGCTGGTTGAGTGAGAGTGTGCCACCACGCCGCGTGTTGTTGAGGCCGATGGATGTGTTGGTGGACATCCGGAGGCCGTGTAGGGCGCGGGGGTCCTTCTTTGTGGATGTGAGGAGGGGGTTGGCCGGGGCGGCGGATGGGTCGGCTGGGCGGTAGAGGGCGGCGTTGGCTCGCGGGTCCTCCACCAGCTGCGGCGGCATCGGCAGCTCGCCCGACTCCAACACACATCTGAGCAGCTCGGCCTCCTGCGTGCATGTGCAGGGAGGGACGTTTGTGTATGTGTTTGTGTGTATTGGGAGTGCATGAAGCTGACGTACGCACCGTTGGGTTGAATGTGACTCTTCGGATGCGGTCGATTTCGCGGATGATGTCGGGCAGGTACTCAGTCGGGGTCGCCTGGGGCTCCCACGGAAACACACGCCTCCACTGACACGCACACACACACACACACAGAGAGAGAGAGAGAGAGAGTGCCCATCCATTCGTCCATTTGTGGGTGGGTGGGTGAGTGAGCACCATTTTCCAGAACATGCGCAGAAGGGACTTGGGGTCCAACCTGGGCAGACTCTGATGATCCGAGAGAAATACGCCATGCACACCGGCCACCCCCATATTCCGCCCACCCGCCCGCCCGCTCACCGACCTTTTTGTCGAAGACTTCGTGTTGCTGCTGAATCTGGTCCACACATTCCATCACCAGCCCACACACCATAAACACCTGAGTGCACGCCAACACACACACACACATACATCAACGCTCGGCCAGCTGGCTAGCCCTTTTACCCCCCTCCCTCCCTCCCTCCCTCTGTCTAACATAAGTAAGTCACTCACTGACCGCGCCTTTGATGAGTGGGCCGACCATGTCCTCCACCTTGGTGCTGAGTGTGTATGAGAGGTCCCGGCGGGCGGCCTCCAGGCGGCTGATGACCACCAGCCCGTGGGGGTCGGACGCCTCCTCGCGGGACACACGACGGTACACCAACACATACGCCGACCGCTGCAGAGGCGTATTTGAGAACATCCACGCATCACACACAGGCAGGGGAGAGGGATGTGTGTGGTGTGGTGTGGTGTGGTGAGCTGACGACTGACCTTGTGGGTGCTTCCGCCCTCGGCGTCCTTGCGCAGCTGATCCTCTAAACAGTCCTCTACCTGCGTCCATCCACACGTCAATGGCCGTGGACATGTAGGCAGTAGGCAGTGTGGTATTTTGGGGGTGGTGTGGTGTGGTGTGGGGGGTGAGCGCACTGCCCACCGTGTGATTGTCGATTTTCTGCCAGATGGTGTCTTGGATCTGGTGGTGTGAGCCGCCCCGCTTGTAGAGGAAGTAGTGGCCCTCACTCAGCTCGCCCTCGTGAATCACAACAAACTGCACACACACACACACACACACACACACATGCACACGCACAGGCACACCCGGGCACGCACACTTTAACAGATGCAGAGGCGGAGCGCACCAACACCCACCTTCATGCACGTGTGCCATGCATGCCGTCTGTCTCCCTACCTCGAGGCGATAGATGGTTTGCTGGTCGATGTAGAAGAGACGCGCCTCCTCACTGCCCTCATCCACGCCCTGCATGCCATCCAACAGAAAGGACACACGCACGCCGCACGCCGTGTGTTCCTCCCTCCCTCCCTCCCTGTGCTGTGCCTGCCTGTGGTAGTGTGGTGGTGAGTTTGTTGGTCATGAAGTTGAGGTTGAGTTCCATCTCGAGGGGCACTCGGTGGTTGGTCTTCTCGCCAGCCTCCTTGTCCGCGGCGTACGCGTACCGATCCAACACGATGAACGCCATGAGCGGGATCTCATACGACAAACTGACATATAGTATATGACCACACAAACACAAACCCGCCATCCATCCATCCATCCATTTAGGAACCTACCTCTTGATGGCCTTGGTCTGCTGCTGGTCCTTCATGTGGTCCTGGAGGAGAGTCTTGAGATCGGTGTCCTCCTCAGGCCTCACGTTGAGTACGAAGTTGGTCATGTCGGTGCGGGAGGAGCTCTCCACACCATCCTCCTCACGAACGGCTACCATCGCACCTGCACACACAACCAACAAACCAACAAACCAGCCATAGAGAGAGATGAGGGAGCGCGTCTGTTCTGTGATGCTGACTCACTCACCGCTGAGGACATTGCGGCACTCTTCGGCGAAGTGGCGCACCCCAGCATTGCGGTACTCTACCTTGAATCGCAGACCCTCCTCACCTTCAACTCGCCCACATTCGGCCCCTCCCTTGCTGTCTGCTGCCCCCTGCGCCCCCTCTGCTCCTTCATCCCGCCCAGCTGCCGTCTTGTCCCCCGCCTTGTTCTCGCCCCCGCCCCCACTGGCAGGCGACCGTGGTGTCTCCTCCGCCTCTCCCTCTCTAGCAGTGGACACGCCGCTGGCCGTCTCGGTCACCGCTGTGGTGTTGGCCGACGGACGGGGGGGCACCGAGCCGCTGCCATCCGGAGGTGGATGGGGGTGGGTGGTGGGAGTCGGATTGCCGAAGCGTTTACGGATGTGGGCGTTGCATGCCTTCTCCTCCTTGGCGATGTTCTCGAGCTTGTCCTTGGTGAGCCAGGACATGCCCATGGGCGACAGGCCCAGCAGGCGGGACGTGCCGTCGAACACCTCCGTGATGTCCTCCTGACCAGACAGACACAGCCAAACAGAGAGGCGACACACAGATAGATAACACATACAGGAGGGAGGGAGGGAGGGAGTGAGCAGACAGTGAAGTGAGCCCAGACGGACCTGTGTGCCATTGAAGTGCGTGAAGAAGAGTGGGGCGACGTTGCAGAAGGACAAAGGGGTGGCGTGCAGCACGGCCAGGTGGACTGCCAGCTCCTCGCCGAACTCCCTCACGGCCCTTGTCACCTCCTCGCACTCGCACAGCGCCTCCAGGCGGCCCTGATTCCTCATCTGGCGCATCCAGTCGTTGATGCTGGCCGCGCTGTGCTGCCAGCCGGCCGGGATGGTGTAGGGTGGGCAGGCGGACCAGGTCAAGTTGTGCTGGGAGGTGGATGACCATGTGTATGCGTTCCAGAGGGCCCGGCAGAACTCGGGAGTGTGGGCGAAGATCAGCAGCAGCACCTGCATATATATCAACCAACACGCACACCGAGGCAGGCAGACAGGCCGACGTAGTGAGCCATCCATCCATCCAGCTGCAGCTAGCTGGTCAGGCGGGCCATGCATTGCCTTTGTTTCTTCTGTCTGCCCACCATGAAGAAACACCCATTGCCGGGGTTCGACAGGGCCGCCGGCACAAACACATCCAACACCGTCCTGCAGGACAACACAACAACATGGATGGATGGATGGATGGACGCCTCCATCACTGTGTAGCTAGCTAGCTAGCTAGCTACCCACCCCACTGACCCGTCGGCCTGCGTGACGCGTCTGAATGGCCTGATGTGTGGGTAGACGATCTTGCCGTCCTTGAGGCTCTCCAGGAGCGCCAAGGCCATCTCCCAATCGTCATTGAGATTCCGTCGTGAGGACAACACCTGCCGCTCAGCCTCCTTGGCCGCTAACCCGTCGATGCCGCACTTGACGGGAATGAGCTCCACCGTCCGCCCGTCGCCCACCGCCACGTCCCGGGGCTGCAGCTCATCCGCCATGTCCCCCGCCAGCAGCAGGGTGGGAGAGATGGGCGACATCGGCTCACCACCCGACACACCACCGCCACCACCACCACCACCACCAGCAGGGGGCGTCTGACCCGACCCACCATGCTCTCCGGGCTCTCCTGCCGCTCCTTCTGTGGTCGGCGATTGGTCGTTGGCGTGTGCGGGTATGGTGATGTTGATGGGGTGGGGCCGCATGAACATGGGATCGAAGGGGCCGCAAAACATGGGATCGCGTAGGGGGGGCATTTGCCACCCCAAGGAGCGGTAGAGTTGTTCCAATCGGTCCAGCAAAGACTGACGGAGCATCTGCAGATCCCAAGTTTTCTGATGCATACGTAGCAAACATCCATCAGCCGACACACAGACGAATTGGCCCTTGTCTCCCCTGCCTGTGTGTGTGCCTGTCTGTGTGTGCCATCCATCCATCCATCCATCCCCAACATCTATCCCTCGTCGGTCACTCACTCACCAGCATGCCCTTTGAGAGTATCTTCCGATCGGCTTCTCTCATGAGCTCCAGCTTCTGCACCCGAGCCATGAGGTCGCTGTGCGCCTTGCGGGACGCCTCCTTGTACTCATGCAGTTCCTTTTCCTGCCGCTGCAGAGCCGCCTTGAGCATGCTGTTCTCCTTGGCTAGCTCGTCCGTGGTCTTGAGCCAGCTCGGGCCCTTGGTGGATCCTGCTGCTGCTCCAGACGCACCCAACACACTACCAGCCTGCACACCCACACACGCACACACACACACACACAGAGAAAGAGAGAGAGATGGAACTATGCGGCACTCCCTCCATCTTCCCCGTGTCCACCCACCCCAGGCTCACTCACCGTCGAAGGCAGGGTGTCCCTCTGGTCAGCCAGCCCCCTACTGCCCCGCGTCAGGCGCTCCCCTGCCCCCGCCACACCCCCCTCCACCTCACCCGTCGAGTTCCACCGCAGCGGCTGCCGCACGAACGGACCCCGAGTCGAGCTCAGAAATCTGCTCGAGGTGGGCAGCGGCAGCTCGCCACCATTGAACACCTCAGACAAAGACGACAGCCCCCGCCGCCCCTGCCCGGTGGTGCTGCTCTCCGGCTGGGTGAACGCTGAACGCAGTGCACAGGGGCCATTTGTACGGTACCGCGAGGAGAGGAGCGAGGTCGTGGGCTGCTGGGTGGATGCGAGGAGCTTGAGGGGGAGGGTGGAGGGTGGCACTGGCGAGTCGAGGATGCGCTCGGTGCGGATCTGGCGGAAGCGCCCCGATGATCCGCCACCTACATCGCCCGCAGCAGCCACAGAGGACGTCACACCGGCGGCCGCACCGTCCTCCCCTCTCGGACACTGCCCGCCCCTCTCCATGGCGGCTAGCCGGGCGCCAATGACGGCCGTGGGTCTGCGTGGCTCGGGCGCTGGCGAATGAGCCTCAGGGCTGCTGAATTTCCATGAGTTGTCGTTGTTGGTCTCTGACATGGTCTTTTTCGGCGCCTCGCGGGAAGATGCGGCCGGGAAAGAGGCGCGGAAGCTGTTCAGTGACGATTGGGCTACGGGACCGTCGTGAGATGGCGCATCTGTGGGCGAAGGGCTGTGCGATTGGTCGGCCGTCGACGTCTGGACTTGGTGGAGGCGGCGGAGGGTGGACTCGGGATCCTTCTCCGGCGTGGAGCCGACGGATGAGGACATGGTATGAGTGAAGACCAGGCTTTGCGCTGCAGTGATTTACAACGATTTACTGCACTGCTTTGTAGTTTTCCGTTTGCTCTAACCTTCTGGAGGGAAAAACTCCGGTCGGTGTGCGCTGCGAGTGATGAACAAAACCGCATTCTCTCATCATGTGGACCGTTGCGTCCATCGCATCTTCCGTCTCATCATCTCATGTCGTATCTATCTATCCATCTATCTGGCTTGCTGGCTGGGTGGCTGCACTCACCTCACTCGTGCTAGCCACCACGCCAGCATTCATGGGACGGCAGCGTTAATGCGATGGAAAAAGTCAGCTGCTCACTCGACCACATCTCAGCTAGCTGTCGCATGCACTGATGCTCTCACTCTGTAGCTAGTGCCACCATCCACCGCATCATCAATCACATCACCTATGTACACCATCCATCCATCCATCCATCTGTAGGCCCACACCACACCCATCGGTCAGAACTGGTAGTAGGGGAAGCCGCCGTCGTTGAGCACTGCCTGCGTCACGATGCCGCCGAAGGCAAGCATGGCCAGCCGGCCGTTCTTCAGCTCGCGAGCTCTGCAGACACACGCAGACGCAACCCAACGCATTCTTAGCCAACCATGAGTGTGTCCGTGGGTACCTACCTCATGGCGTCTTTGGTGCTGTCGTTCTTGTTCTTGTAGAAGTTGAGGGGGTCAAAGTTGTAGTCACCGGGCTCCCTCTCCGCGTAGAAGCCGCGCGTGAAGTCCCAGATCGTGATGCCGCGGAAAAACTCCAGGAAGCCAGCTGCCAACAGCATCACCTGCACGCCAACACGCACAGAGAGGCCGACGAAATGAGCCAACCATGGCTGGCTGGTCAGGGCAGGCCATTCACTGCCTTGCCTTTGTGCCCTCCGCCTGCCCACCATCATATTCCCGCTGGCGACCATCTTGTCATGTGCCTCGGCAGCGGAGAAGCCCTGGAATTGTGCGCCGGGGAATCTCAGCCCCAGGTCGGTGGCGACGTACCCAAGGACACCCATCATGGCCCACCGACAGTGAGCGATCTCCGCCTCACGCAGCCAGTAGTAACCGTCGAGACCCTGCAAACCATCCGACGGACACACAGCACGTCAAGTGCATGACTTTCCGGCCGCTTTGTGTATGGTGTTGGGTGTGCCCACCTGGCTGAGCGGCTCGGCGTCGTCGTAGAGGAGTGCGCCAGGGAAGATGGCTCGAGACCAGTTGATGTCCTTCCAGACCGTAGACAGCCTCAATGGGTCGAAAGGCTGCACCACATCAAGCACTGCAACCGTGATGCTGTCCTCATTGCGTCTGCGTGTTTCCTGCCTGTCTGACAGACCTTGCCAGGGGAGAGGGCGAGCGCGTTCTCAGGGCCGACGCCTGGGCTGCCCTCGAGGGTCTCTTCAGATCCAGCCTTCGCCATCTCCAGCTGCGGTGTCCTCCCATCCCTGCCGCTTCGGGATGCAACTAAATCGCCCAGGCGGCCAGATGGCGCCACGAAGGCAGACCCTGTGGAGGAGGAACCTGTGGATAACAGCAGCACAGATCAGATCACCTCATCGACATACTGATCGCATAGATCTGTTGCCGTGGGCAGGATGAATGCTACCTGAGGCCACGGCAAGGGAGAGGGCGACAACCACCACTGCTGCCTTCATCCTCTCAGATCAACAGGGCCTTCTGGGCTCAGTTTACAAATTCGCACCGCGATTGCGCAGGGTTTGGATCTGCGCGCTTAAAGGAGCACCACTTGAAGCCTTGACAGCATGAAGTCAGTGATCTGTGCCATCGCTCTGCTCGTGGTTGGCGCTCATGCATTTGTGCCGCCTACGGGCTTCCAGGGAGCCCTGAGGTCCCGCGGCGCTGCCCGCCCTGCAACCACCATGGGCGCCGTCGATCAGCTGGCCGGAGCCGACGTCGAGGTGAGTTCGTCCCAACCACTTTGACGCAGGGTGGAAGGTGTCACTTGCATGTCCTCATCCGACCGCCTGGCTTTGTGTGCGCGTCCATTGATCAGACTGGCGGTGTGTGGGATCCCCTGGGGTTGAGTCAGAATGAGGACGCCCTCTCCCTCTACAGGGCGGCGGAGCTCAAGCACGGCCGCGTGTGCATGATGGCTGTTTTGGGGGTTATTGTCCAGACCTACTTCCAGCTCCCCGACCCCGTCTTCAACAACCCCAGGCCCCTGGAGGCCATCGTCCAAGTCTGGCAACAGAGGCCAGAGGCTATCATCCAGGTGCGTACCTACATCACCCACACCGCTGCACACAGGACGCCTGCCCACCATCATACAGTCGGTGTGTGGCTACTTTCTGTGTCAGATCCTGCTTGCGATCGGGGCGACTGAGCTTTACTTCTTGCGCCAGAGCCCCGAGGACCCGCCAGGCAGCTTGCAGAACTTTGGCGCCGCCTTCAGGCCACGAGGTGCGCACACGGGAAGCTGACCGCATCAAGTCGCCGTGTCATGGTCGCGCTGTGTGTCCCTTCGTGATCCACAGATGAGGCCAAGTTTGAGGAGCTGCAGCGGAAGGAACTCAAGAACGGTGGGCAACACACACACAAGACAGACAGCGAAGCGTCCACAGCATTCTCCTGTGTGGTGCGTGTGTGTGTTCAGGTCGTCTTGCGATGATAGGCATCTCGGGCATGCTGGTGCAGGAGGCGCTGACCGGCCAGGGACCACTGGAGCAGATCCAGGTCGGACACATATCGCCTTTCGGGGACGGACAGGGCTACTTCTGATCGACAAATGGGTCGATGGATGCATGGAGACGCGTACAGTAGACCGTGTGACTGACTGACTGGCCCTGCGTGATGTCTGGTTTGCTTCTCATTTTGCCTTGCCATTCTTGACGGCTGGCTGGGTGGGTGGGGCGGGGTGGGGTGGGGTGGGGTCGGTGGGTGAAGTGATGGATGCATGGAATGACTGAGGAGGAAAGAAGGAAGGCTTTTTGCGTGTGATGTGATTGATGTGGATATGACGATGTTGAGCCATTGATTGGCGCCACGTGCGGTGCTTCCACCCCGAGCAAGCGATGGAGGGATGGAATGATGGATGGGTGGATGGATTGCAACAGACAGACAGCTTGCTGCATGGGCAGCAAGCTAATGCGTGCTGTGGACGCCATTGATGCATGGTGTCCTCGTCATTCAGGGCTGGTCTTCTTTGTTGTCCATGATGTACCTCCGCTGTTCGATCAAGTGACATGATCGAAGACGGCAGCGGTACGTCACGGCTTTGGCAAAAAGACCAGCGCTGCACGACAAGAAGAGGACGCTGCTCACTTACTGGGTTCGTATTGAGAACCACCCGATGTGCTGCGTGTCTGTCGTCTGTTTTCGTGTCTTCCTCCGTCACGCAACCGCTTGATGTCAGCCCACACATTGGGTGGATGCGTGTGGGGGTGGGGACGCAGTAAAACAGAAGGCGGGCACCGAGCGAAGGGTGTGCTGGCCACATGGCAGGACGTTGCATGCAGTGAGACAGACAGACCTCTGCGATACGCACGCAAGGAAGATATTTTTGCATGTTATCGGGCTGCCAATTCGCCATGTGTCGCCAATGCTGATCACATCTTCATAGGAACAGGCGCCAATCCCTCACTCACTCACTGAATGCCATGCAAAATGGTCTGTGTTCCACCACGCAGCCCGTCTGTCCCTATGGCTGTCTCCATCGGTGTCACACACTCGGTTACTGGTCAATCGTCATGCGGGATGCCACTGGCTGGCATCGTCGGGCGACAGGGCACTCTTCACCTCCAACACTGAGCGCCAGTCAGGCGACGGATACCTTAAACGCACACAGACAGACAGACAATCGGTGTCTCCGACTACAGATTGCTTCCAACCCACCACGTGTCTTTGGTGTCCGTGTTGACACGCGGCGATGGCGGGTGGTGCCCTTTCCGCTTCCCCTTCTGCGGCGAGCCAGACTTGTCCAGGTTGAGCGATTTCAGGCTCATCAGTAGCTTGGCTGTCGACGGGCGGCTGCTCTTACACACACCACTCAACGCAGGAACCGTATGAGACCGCCGCATTCCATTGGTCCTCCCAGCCTTCAACAACCGCAATGTCGGCTGGCCGGGGAAGAATGGCGACACATAATTGGCCGTGTCAGCAGGGGCGCTGTGTGGTGCGGGCGGTAGGTGTGGGCTGGGGGGTGTGGGCAAGAGGCGGTTCGCAGGTGAGATGGGCGGAGACAGGATGTGGCTTGCGATGGCTGGTGGCTTGGCAACGGGTGACTGTGCGAGTGGTGTGTCGGATGGGCCGAGGAGAGCGGAGATGAGATTGGGGCGTGCGTTGCGGGTCTTGCTCGCCGCCCTGCGATTTGCGGTCATGTCCACCTGGACGCAAAAGAGGGAGTGAGTCGAATGAATGACCATTGACTTCTGTCTGATCAATGAATGAGTCTTACGAGTGATCCGGTCCGTCTGATACCCTGCTTGACCTTGACAGCGCTAGTGTATCCCCCTCCAAGGCTGCCCGACCGCTTCACCGGCTGCTTGTCGCCACTCATTTCCTTGCCTTTCTCCTTTTCCCTCTCCCTCTCCCTCTCCCTCTCCAGAGGCGGCAGATACTTGGCCTTCTTGTTCCGGTCAGCCTAATGGGTGGGCACACAGCAGCCAGCATCATCATAGCTGTCTGTCATCGAGTGACGTGACCACGTCTCACCATGTCTCGTACATCGTCGAATACGAAAAGAGTGACGTGTCTCATCAGCCGCGTCTTGATAGGTGACGGGGGCGCCGTGGAATGGCTGGGCAGCGACAGGCCGGGCGTGTTGTGTCGCGCGTCCTCGATCTCGCGGATCAACCGGCGCATCTTCTTCTCGTGCACATTGCGGTGCCGCAATTTCCCTGTAATGGCTTTAGGGCTGTCCTCTGCATCGTTGATCATGAGCAAATCCTCTGCCGACGAGAGAGAGGAGCTGCTGAGCCCATGAGGTGCGAGTCGGCTGACATCCGGCAAATCAACACTTCTCTCTCGTTTGAGCGGCATGAAGGTCCAGGGCGCCTTTCTCCCGCCCTGTCTGTGTGGAGGTGTGTCCTCCTCGCCAAATGGGTCCTCACACCAAGTGCCCTCGTCGCCGGTCAGCTCCTGCCCATGCGGGCTTTCACGCAGTCTGTCGGGTCGCTTCCGATGTCTCCTGTTCTTTTGTCGCTGCCGCTTGGGGAACCCATAGCACGCGGGGGAATCGCTGTCGCTGGACAGCGCATCCATGATGGCGGCCTGTGTCAGAGCGTCGCGAGGGACGAAGGTGGGCGGCTGCGAGGGCTTTCTCACCGACAGGTGGCGGCGCCTCGATCTCCGTGGTGTGGGCGGGGCCTTGACGTCTGGCAGGACGATGTGGGTGGCCTTTGTGAGGACGGACCACTGGCGCGGCTGGGCTCTGCTTCGAGACGAAGACCGTCTGAGCCTCGTCTCACTTGGTATGCCTCTCAAAGCCTCTAATGGGGAGCCATTGAGCTGCAGAAAGAGGGAGAATTAAGCAGACGCCGTGTCGTGACGGATCTTCCCTTCCTTCGTGCCCCGACCTGTAGTCCATTTGGTCCGTCACTGTACTGCTTCCTGGGGGCGACTTCTGGCGATTCCGTCGGTGAGTGGTCCGGTGTGGGCAGCTTGCGATACGGCCGCTTGGGCGACCTCCGGACTGTTGGTTCTTCCATTGGCTCATAGTAGCCGCTTTCCGCCAGACATGCTGTCATGAAGTTCCACGCCTCCGACGCCCCCTTGAGCGTCTCCTTCTCTGCTTCCACCCCAGCGGCTGCTCTCTCCTCTTTCGCCGGCTGGGGAACATGAGCAGGGAAGCCGTGATTGTGGTGGTGGGGACGCGGCTGCAGGGTCTCTAACAGTGTGTGTTTGCCTGAGGGCACTGCCCTGAGGAGTGAGGGGCTTGGAGCCAAAGGCCCGTTGAGGCCGAACACGCCCTTCCCGCCGCCATTTGTCGACCCCCATCTGCTGACAATTGGCGAGCCGTCCTTGTGCGGCTCCCTGTTGATCGGTGGGAGATGGTGTCTGTGGGCGTGGCTGACAGGTGGCGAGGGGCTGTTCCGTACTCTTCCAGAGGGGGCGATGTGGCCTGCCACTCTCGCAGGCACCCGCTTGGCAGTGACGGGAGGGTCAAGGGGAGGGGAGAGGTCGATGGGCCGCAAATCGCAATGCCGCTTCTCAGCGCTTCGAACTGACATTGAGGGAGTCTCGTGAGATGAGGGGGATGAGTCAGAAACGCCGAACACTCCGAATGGGGATCGCGCTCCGTCTTGGCTCGCAAGCTAAGCTCGCAGATTCGTGCTGAGTGGACGAAAGGTGAGGAGTGTTTCAACATTGAAGAAACCTGGTGAATGAGAGCGCCACGAAGACTGAAACAGTGGATCAATCAACATACATCTTTCTGAGTGGAGGAGAGAAGGTACGGACGGCATGCGAAGATCAGTCACAGATGCACCGAACCACCCCCTCCCACATCACGTCCCGATGTGTGTGTGTATCTGCCAGCATCGGAAGACAACTGAGGCCTGAGAGTGTGGCAGGAGGACTCATCCAGGGAGCATGTCGGCCACCAAGTTGTCTTCCATCTACTCTGCCCTGGACAACGGCAACAACAAGAACGCCATCAAGCTATGCAACGGGACCTTGCAGAAGCAGCCGCACAACACCACGGCCAAGGCGCTCAAGGCGCTGGCCCTTCAGCGGCTGGGCAAGGCCGACGAGGCCCTCCCGCTGCTCGACGAGATCAAGCTTCAGAAGCCAAAGGACCCGGAACTCATACGGGTCGCAAACTGTGTCTATCACGCCGTCAGGAAAGGTGAAGGAGGCAGCAAAGATCGATGGATGGATTGGTCGACCGAGTGATGGCTAATGCCTGCTGCCTGTCGTGGTGTGTCTGTCTGTCTGTCTGTCTGAAGAGCAAGATGCGCAGGAGATGTGTGAGGTGGCGTATCAGCAGGATCCCGACAACGAGGAGCTGGCCGTGGCCTACTTCTACTGCCTACTCCGAACACGCGACTACGCCAAGCAGCAGCAAGTGGCCATGAAGATGTCCAAGAAGTTCAGCAAGCCAAAATATCTCAGGTGGAGCCTCATGGCCATCCTCATGGTACGTACGCACAATCCCTCACGCACACAAGCGTGCCGTGCTTGCCTCATCTCCCCCTCTGCCGGCCTGTCACTGATCGATCGATCAGTCGTCTGGTCTTGACGGTGCCGGCAGCAGGACCCTTGACCTCGCCGAAATGATGCTCGCTAAGGTCAGTCACCAGGGAAGGAATTATATGATCCAACAAAGTCGCATCATCATGTGTGTTGTCTTGGCTGGTTGCTGTTCTGTTACTGCAGGCCCCGTTGAATGTGCCTCCCCGCGGTGCGGGCGCCCCGCCGGCGACCAAGGGGGGAGCGGCCAGCACACTCAGGGAGAGCTACGGACGTGAGCAGAGGCAGGCGACACGACAAACGGCCATCCCATCCTCTCTCGATGGCCTTCATGTTGCTTGTCTCTGTCTGGGTGTGGGGAGGGGATGTTTCAGTGTTCCTACTGCACATGTCGGTCCTGCGGCTCAAGGGCAAATACGCGGAAGCCCTCGGTGAGGGAGGGACGGAGGGACAACCTAGCCAGCACTCCATGTGTCAGTCATGTGTTGTGGTGTGCCGTCACACATGTGGTGTGGTGTAGAGCTGTTGGGCAAGTGCGAAAGTTGCACCATGGTGCCGTTGGAGGACTATGCCCTCCGTGTGCAGCTGGAGGCCGAACGCGGCAGGCTCGACAAGGCCATCGAAGCCGTCAGGAGATACCTGCTGCACGAGTAAGCCACCGAGTCAGGCAGACAGACAGCGAGGGAAAGGGGCACCTACATGGTTGCAACAGATACCAGCACCAGCAGCATGCGTCGGTTCTGTCTGTCTGTCTGTCTGTGTGTGTCGCTGAATATGTCGTCCTTATGTAATATTCCCAGCAAGAATCAGTGGTGTGCGACTGAGGTGTTTGTGCGTCTGAGTGTGGAGCGGTCTCTGCAGGCGGGCCGGCAGAGGGAAGACGACGACCCGCTATGGACACTCGACTTCAACACAAGGGTCAGTTCAGTGGGGTGGGTGGGGTGGTGGACACAAAGAAAGAGAGCTCTGCTGTCGGTCTGGCCACACACACACACACACACTGATATCTATGTCTGGCTCTGTGTGTGTGTGTGTGTGTGTGTAGGTGAATATGGACGAGGCGACGGCCAATAGGATGTCGGAGCTGGGCGCTCTCAAGGTACACATGCATCCACTAGACCAAACCAGCACAATACGGGTCTCTGGAAATGCTGTCTGTCTGTTGGTCTGCCGGTTTGTTTGTCCTTCATTCATTGCAGACGTCTGACCCGATCAGCGATGCGTATTTGATGCTTCGTCACGTGCGTGACGGCATCATCAAGTTCTCCGACGCATCCATCACAGCACCCATGTCAGAACCACCCTCGCCAGAGGAGGGGTACGCTACGCACACAAACCAACACCGACCGAATCAATACCAACACCCACCACAATTTTTGCACTTGACTTGCTGTGTGTGTGTGTGTCAGGCGAAGGTGGGCGTTGTGTGCTGAGCTGGAGCTGAGGAAACAGACGCTGGTCGTCCACGCAGAGAAGAAACTGCGCAAGAAGAGTAAGTAACGACAGACAAATGAGAAGTCGGCTTGATGATGGTGCTGGCATGTGAATTGGGTTCCGTCTGTGTGTGTCAGTCGGTGATATGTCAGCGCAGGAGCTGTGGGGCGTGGCGTCGCAGCCAGAGGGGGCCTCCTTCATAGGACTCATCGACACGTAGGCATATCCACTTGACACACCAACTGACTGAGGGATGCGATGCCTTCCCGTGCACATCAGGTATGCGGCCGAGTTCGGCGGGAGCCCCACCTGCTTCTACGAGCTGAGGCCGTACCTCGCCTTCCTCGTAAGGGGTCACATCACGCCCTCCCCCCACACACAGATCTATTGATACGGGGCCACGGCCGGCTGCAATGGTGTGTAAGTCAGGACGAGGTGAAGGCCCGACAGCTGTCGGGTCTGCTGCGGCCCAGGGTGGTGGTGCCCCAAGATGGACACAGCAACGAGGTGAGGGAGGGATTGAGCGGGTGAGTGGGGACGGACACCACGGAGCAGACTCCTTTGTGTGTGGTGCAACCCTGACTGACGCAGAAGCGTCCAGTGCGCCAGTACATGTCACTGCACAAGATACTTCACGGTAGGTACAATGGCACCCACTGAGTGAGGACACCCTCACACAGCGCCCTTGCCTGGCCCGTCAGCTCTTCGGTGGCACATGCCCATTGACAAGGCGGAGCGCACCGCTGCCAACGGTGGTGGTGGTGGTGGTGATGTGGAGCGGGTGGCTGAGTGGCTGTGTGTGTACACGGGCCACCTGCACCTGGACCAGGACAAGTCGTCCATGAGCTACAACACCGTCGACGAGCTCACAGCACTGGCCGCCGAGGTGGGCATGGCGTGGCAGGGATACAGGCGCAGGGCAGATGCCAGATGATATGCGATGCGCATTGAAGTGTCTGTCTGTCTGTCTGTGTGTGTGTGTCTGTCCTGTCTCTCTGTAGGTGTTGGTAGAGATGGACGAGCGGCAAGCGAGAGGTAAATGCTCACTGGTGAGCACGGCAGACAGACAGACACCCTGACCGACAAACAACACCAACACTCCTATCCATCCCCAGCCACGGCCAACGATGGATGGTGTCTGTCCAACAGAGGCCCATCGGCAAGGCAAGACAGTGCCCCTGGCGGAGAGGGAAGCCGTCGTATCGGCCCTTGCCGTGCTCGAAATGGTAGGCCCAACACAACACACCTCAGCCTTCTTTTCATGTCCTTGTGTGTGTGTGTGTGTGTGTGGTCAGTGCCTGGCCCATTCCGAGTACAATTTCCACGCCAGGTTCCTGAGTCTGCTCATCTACAGCCACTTGGGGCTTGGTGCGGCCGCCCAGTCCTTCATCGTCAAGCTCGACTTCAAGAACGTCCAGTACGAGGCACTCGGATACACGCTCTTCGACACATACTTGGACTCCGCCATGATGTAACCAACCCCTACACCACCCTCCACACACACACACACACACGCGCAACACGCAATACATTCACAACGACTTATCTGTGTGTCTTTCTTTATCTCCGTGTGTTGAATGATGTGATTGTGATGCAGCCCCGAGGCTCTGGAGGTGTGCAAGGAGATGTGTGAGTTGGAGGCCGACTTCTACCGGCAGACGCAGGACGCCATGCAGAATGCATACGAGCACGAGAGCTACGGCAGGGTCGCCGACTTCACCGCGGCACTCGACAGGATGAAGCGGTCCATGCAGCCCGTCAGGGCCGAGGTCATGGAGGGCCTCATGAACCTGCAGCAGGCACTGGGGGACACCTCCCAGGGCGACGGGTTTGGCGACATGGCGCTGCTCGTGCAGAAGGACATGCCAATGCTCAGGAAACACGCCGGTGGGTCGGGTGTTTCCAGACAGACAGACAGACAGATGGTTCATCGTTTGTCGTTTCCCTCCCTCCCTGTGTGTCGTTGTGTTGCTTGCAGGGATGTCGTTGTCTTGGTACCAGCTGAATCAGGACCGGCAGGTGCATCTGAGGTGCACCTCCGTCCCCCCCTTCCCAGCGCTGCCGCCCTCACCGCCCCCATCCCTCACATCAGTCATCCCACCTGCCACCTTCATCTCCCACCCCCCCACACACACCCAACCACAACACACACAGACACAGCCAACGGCAACCGGCGCCACGAAGACATCATCAGCAGGAGATGACGACCACGCGAGCAGCAGCAGCCGGGGCAGCCACAGTGACAACGACGGGGGTGTGGCCAGCACCATCCGTAAGGTGCCGCCGGTGAGGTGCGCGTCTGTGCCAATGCCTGTGGTGCCTCCTGTGGCTGCGGCCGAGGGTTATGGGGGCTTTGTGAGCCTCTTCCTGCCCAGGTTTCAGGAGATGCCGGCTTGCCTTAAGTGAGGGAGGGAGTGGCCGGCCAGGGAAGGGAGGGAGGGGAGGCAGGAGGGGTGCTGTGCTGTGTGTGCTGGAGAGAGTGGTGTGGTGTGGGTGTATGTGTGTGTATGGCTTGATGCAGGATGTGGGCGACTGCGTTGTCGATAGTGTGTCTGCTGTACGAGAAAGACCTGGACGAGGCGTCAAGGATGCTCAGCGACCTCCGACACCTCATGGCCATCACAGGTGTGTACCACACACACAGACAAATACACACACATTGCCAGGAAGACTCTTTCCCCCGTCTGATCCACATTCACCCACTCGTCAGGCATCATCCAGGCCCAGCAGCCTCTCCCCAGGCCAGAGCATGACACAGCCTTGCCATCACCGCCCACCGACGACACCGACAGCACGTCAGCAGCAGCTGCAGCCGATGCCGCAGATTCGACGGACGGCACTGCCCCTGCACCGTGCAGCAGGTTGTGGTGGGGCGATGACGCCCACGGGATCAGCTCCCCACCACCGCCGTGGGACACTACATCTGGAGAGCCATCGGGCAGAGACAAAGCGGTGAGTGAAAGCAAACGAACAGGGCATATGGCTGTGTGTCAGTCATATTTGGTTTGTCTGTCTTTGACCCGTGCGTGTGCGGCACGTGACTGGCAGTTTTGGCGGATGACCTATCTGTGTCTGGATGTCGCCCATCGGGTGCTGGAGGCGTGTGGGCCGTCCCATCCCAACGGCAGCACTAGCAGCAGCAGCAGCCGCCCACCACCGAAGCCCTCCCCCGCCCCTGCCTCCACTGCCCCCCTGGCAGCGTCCAGCTCCTCATCCCTATCGCTCGCAGACGGCCCCGACCCATCACACACACACCGATCTCCAGCCGTTGATGACGTGTCGGTGCGGGCGGGGTCGACTTGGGAGGATGTGGAGAGGGGGCTGGAGGTCCTCACGCAACTGCTGCCTGGTCAGGCCTGACATCAGGGATTCTGCTGTGTGTGGTGGCGGAGCACTTGGAGCTGCTTGGCTGTGCGTGTGTATGCGTGTGGTGTGGTGCAGATGTGATGAGGATAGGTGGTGGGCTGGAGACTGCGGATGAGAGCAAAGGCAAGGAGGCGGGCGGGACGGCTGAGGCCGCTGGTGGTGGTGGTGGTGGTGATGCGGCAGTGGGGCGGTTCCAGCGCTTCATGTGGGATGAGGGCGGGTGCACAGGTGCGGTGGGCTGAGCTGAACACACAGCAGGCGACGCGACCAGTGATTGCAATGATGTGCCGTCCCGTCTCCGTTTCTTGTCTTGGTTCAGGTTGCAGCCGTTTCCTGCTGGGTCCGCTGCTGTTTGTGACGGCCCTCTTCCCCTGGATCGCACAGACCATGCCCAGGGCGCGCAAAGACAAAGACAAATCCGCCGTGAGCACAATAAATAGCCATAAACAATGGCCATGCCGATGACAGACAGCATCACAGGACGTTTCTCTCTTGGTCCCGGCTGCGTTGGTTGCTCTGTCTGGTTGCTCTCGTGTCAGGGTCCGTCTGCCGTCCATGCGGCCCGCATTGCCTTCAAGGGTTGCATCACGGCCTATGTGTCGGAGCTGACGCGGCTGTCGACCATCCTCGGCAGGGCGCGCCAGGCGATGGCCGACAAGCCGAGCGACGCACCGACAGGGGGGCTGTTCCCGGACCAGGGGGAGCTTACCAAGGTAGGTGACCACCAACACGCTGTTGTGTGTGTATGTATGTGTGTGGGTGGGTGCTGGTCGGTCAGGAGTTGGATGTCTATCGACGTTCGGTGGCCACTCAGATACTCAGCTCACAGAGGCAGCAGCTGCATAGGCTCAATGAGGTCAGCCAGCCAGCCAGCCACTTGGTGCGGGCGGTGCCATGGATGAGATGAGTGGACGGACGGACGGATGGATGGAAGGCACATATCATCCCGGCGTGTCGTGCGCCTCTCTCTTTGTTTGCATCTGTATGGCCGTGTGTTGTGTGCAGTTGGTCCAGAAGAGGCTGCAGGTGCTCAGGAAGATCACTTTCAAGCCCTGAGGAGGGTCTATCACCACACCATTCACTCGTGTCGCGGTGGCATCACTAAGCTATCTGTTCATGGCATTTGACGGGACTCTAATCGATCCACACGCTCGTCCACTCAGTCACTGGGTGGGAGGTTGACAATTGCGTGCTGTGCCATGACCGTGTGTGCGTGTGTGTACAGCGAGCGAGAGCACTAGCTGTCTGCCTGTGCGTGAGACAAGCAACCCCTGCGTGGTGACTGCAGATGACGGATCGTTGATGAGCCCTTTTCCACTGAAAGCATTCACCGTAGCATGATCTGATCCAGCCACTGTCGCAACGTAGGTCACAATGCTGCCGCCTTCAAGTCAACATACGTACGTCGCTCTTAGCCCACGACCAAGCCCTCCAAGCTACACGTGTACAGCACCTTCCTGGCTGCCGTTCACACGTAGCCCGCGCCAGCAGGGCCGGAGGCCAAGAGCGACGCAGACCATCCAGGCTTCATCCACACACACGCGCCCAGCAGTCAGGCCGACGAACATCCCTCTTACCGAGCCATTCATCCAGTCGCCTCACGCACACTACGGACCAGAAATGAGACAGCCAGGAATTGAGGCTCACGAAACCATGCGGACGCCACAGGCACCGTCCCCGCCCCGTCTTCTCCCTTGTTGCCCTTTCTGGAGCGGGGCCGAAACGAGGGCTTCCATCCCCTCACTTCGGTGCTGCACCGCAAGGACTACAAGAGAGACGACGAGGCAGGGAGGGGCGATAGACAAGAGACATTCAGCCGCCAATCGGATACATACACACACATACATGGTGCACAGCGCCTGCCTGCACAACACGGTTGCCCACATCTGGCTCGCCCGAGGGCACACGCACACGCACGGGATTGAAACCATATACGTGATAAAAACACCGTGCGTGAGATCACGCACTCACTCAGAAACACGCCAATGACCTCGCTGCATTGAATGAATGACCTTCGTTGTGTTGTGTGTGTCAGTGAACGAAAGTATGTGAGTGGGTGGGTACGGAAAAGCGAAGCGGGCAGGAAAATCGCTGCTCAGGCGGAATGAGAAAGCCTGGCTGTGTGCACCGTCTCACACACGCACACACATGGAGAGAGAGAAAAAGGGGGCCGACTTGACGTGACAGGCCCATGCCACTGATCCATCCATGTTACACAGAGACGCAGAGAGATAGAGAAATAGACAGAGATGCCCGTCCGTGTCCAATCCAATCCAATCCATCACTAAAGCCGAAAGGAACACGCGAGAGTGGATGGCTGGGTTGCATGGGGGCATGTTCGGTGCCACGCGCATCGCATCGAGGGGACCAATCCCTCGGCGGTCAGTGAGTGCTCCCGTCCGCTCAGCCAGCAAAGGGAGAGGGGGAGAGCCGAAAAAACACACGTGACTGACTGACTGACTGACTGACTGCAACCGACCGACCTTACGTGTACAGACACACACATACACACAGATAGATAGCCTTCCTCCCGCCTCTCTCTGGCCGTCATATCTGTCTTGTGCGGGTGCCAGGGTGCCATGGATCAGTCAGTCAATCACTGTCCGGCGAGTGGCTGGTGCGACTGAGTGGCGAATTCGATGATGGATCTGTTGGCGAGTAGGATGAAGCCGAAAAGACACTTGGCCGTCACGTCCAGCACGCCGTAAAGCAGGATCTCGATGTCCACCGGGATCACCTTGGTGCCCTCTGCCACGACCTGCACACCAGAGGGGTGAGGCCACCGGCGGGAGTGGGTGATTGTGTGATAGTGTGTGTGACTGTGTGTTGCGTCGTTATTGTTACCCAGACGACGGGGTAGGCGCTCCACAGCACAACCTAAGAAGACACACACAGCACACAACACAGCACAGCACAACAATTGTCTACCTGTCTGTCTGTCTGTCTGTCTGTGTGTCTGTGTGTCTGTCTGTCTGTGTGTCTGTCTGTCTGTCTACACACACACATACCGTCATGACAGACAGCTGGTTGAAGCGGTCGGCTACAGCGGGTGAGGTCTTGATGGCCTTGTCCTTCATGGAAGTCACAAGCGACTGGATGATGGGCAGGAACACCACCATACCGAACACAAACAGCGGCCAGCCCTTGGTGGGCTCATGCTATATGGTCGACACACACCACACACCACACCACACACCAACAGACGACATGCATTGCAGTCGCATGCCTCATATCATTAGCAGAGGGAGGTGTGTGGTGTGTGTGTATGCCTGTGTTTGTACCGCGTAGAGGCCCCCGACGAGTCCCGAGATGATCATGAGGACGTCCATGAGGATGACGTATGTCAGCTCATTCCAGTGGACACCCGCCAGCAGACCCAGATCAACCAGCAGCAGCGGAGTCGTGAACGTCCAATCCAAGTATCGGCCCCAATAGAAGCTGCACACACAACACAACACAGACACCACCACACTCTCTCCCAATCCCTCACACACACACACACACACTCTCTCTCTCTCCCGCCCTGTGCTGTGGTGTATGTGTGTGTTGTCTTGTGTCGTCTTACGATCGTCCATAGGGGTCAGCAGAGACCCCGATGCCGAGTGCCATGCACATGTATGCCAGAGCGGCGATGGCCGTGATGCCCGCACTCACGTAATGGAACTTGCGCATCTCAATGTCGTATCCGGCGCTCTGGCTGATGAAGTAGAGGGTCGACAGGGCCATGCACACGAAGGCCACCCACAGCACCGCCACACCGAATGTCGTCGGCGTTGAGGCGGCGTATGCGCCTCCGCTCGTGGGGGTGGCCGTGGCCTCCGTGGTCAACAGATTAGTAGGAGGAGGAGAGCGCTGACCACAGACAAGGGAGAAGGGGAGAAATCTGCACTTGCTGTATGCTGTTCGTTCCGTGTTGGTTTGTGCCGCCGACCTGTTGGTTAGTGAAGAATGGGAAAGGTGGCTGTTGCGGCTGCTCAGGCTGCTCGCGCTGTTGACGCTGCAGACACACACACGTATGCCCATGCAATTGACTCATGATAGCAGCCTGTCGTTCCATCTCTCACCTGAGAGTCCTGTCCCTGGGCCTTTTGCGTCGGCTGTTGGGGCTGCTGTGGTTGCTGTGAATAGCACGCGCACAGCACAGCACAGGGAGAGACACTCATCACAATCATGTGTGTCGCATGCATGGCATCCCTCCTCATAAGTTTTCACCTGTGGCTGCGGCTCCTGCGGCTTCTGCGGTGTCTGCGGCTCCTGAGGCTGCTGAGGCTCTTGCTGCACTTGTGGCTGCTGTGCCTGCTCGCCCCGCATGCTCTTGCCGCCCTTGGCGTCGGTCTCATTCTTGCTCACGTCCTCGGCACGGGTCACGGCGACGAGCGCCAGCAGGACGCAAACAACCACGGACGAGCGCATGGCGTGCAGGAGGTGCTGGCGACGGCCAGATTAAGGGCGCAGATTTCTCGTGTATCCATCTCCATAAAGCGTTTGCCACGGGATTGGAGGTGAGAAGCCCACGATGAGGAGGCAGCCATCGCAAGTTCAGACACCAAACACGCACCTGACGCCTCCCTCACAGCGAAGGGCCGCTGGAGTGAGAAAAAGGCTGCTCCTTGAATCAGCTGCACGGCTGACGGCGTCGGCTCATGAGGTGCGCGAGCACTCGCCTGAGCATCTGAAGTGACTTATGGATGCTTTCCTTTCGTCCATCCTATCAGGTCCCAAAACCAGAGGTTTCCTTGATGGAGAAAGCGCCATCGCCCTCACCGCGACCCATTGGCTGCCGTCTATCGCCAATATGCGGAGCCAGGAGTATATCCGAGAGCCCCCCGAAGCAGCTGAGCCAGAAGCAGCCCCATTTGCTACAGCCTCCCGGGGCTCGGTCTATGGAGCCGCTGAAGGCGAGGGAAGAGAAGAAGTCCGCCAAGAACGTCCCCTGCAGCCTGTGGCCCTCACCCATCAGACAGGCCATCGTCGGCAGGCGCCACGGCAAGAAGCAGTGGTCCAAAGCAGCCATGCAGTACTTGCTGATCCAGCAGACGCCCTCGTCACAGCTCAAGCGGATCCTCAACGCTGCCCCATCTATCATGTCGGACTCGCTGGGGTCCAACAACTCGCCTCGTCCCTCCCCACCACAGCGGGCCGCTAGTCCACTTGCCTATGAGATTGTGCCGCCCACAGCACCTCCCCCTTCGGCAACGACGTTCAGTTCCCGATTGGACGCCTCGAGACGGTCCCAACATGTGATGCAGAAGCCACTGTCCAGACTATGCCGACGGCGAAGGAATTGGGGAATGCGGGAGCACCCGAGATGGGAAGGTCGGCAAGGCGGCTGAGTGCGCCTGCGTTGGTCGAGCTGCAGCGGTTTGCCCGGAAGGTGAAGCCCCGACTGGCGCAGATTAGTCTCCCCCCTGATGTGCCAAAGCTGGTGCCAAGCGTGCCGAATCAGAGGCAAGAGGATGGTGTCTGTTCTCGCCTCGTTCGTGTTTTTATTTGTGTGCTGTTTGTTGCTGCCGCTGTCGGCCTCCTGCTGCAGACAGGGCAGGGGCGACTCAGCTGAATGAACAATGATTTGCAGAGAATCGTGTGAGTCCGTGTGTGGATGCGCGTGTGTCTGTGTCTGTGTGGGGGATAGAACAGTGGCCGCGTCGTGTGTAGGTGTAGGCTTCTTCACGTTCTTTTTGGTACAGTCTGGCCTTTTGCTAGTCTCTCTCTCTCCCTCTCTCTCTCTCTCTGTGTGTGTGTGTGTGTGTGGCTTTGTGTTGGGCTCTCTTTTTCGACGACAATTTGTCGCATGAATGAGTTGGGGAGATGTTTAGTGAAGCTGCGTGCATTAGAGTATCCCTTTCCTCAGTCCATGACTCCATGTTAGTTGATTTGGGGACCCAGGTAGTCGCGTGCATCGTGTGTCTGTGTGACCCTCGCCTTGTCTGTGTGACTCCCAGCCGCCCTCACTCAACTCAACAGTAGCGTAGCAATAGCCGACAAAGATCTGGTTGGTACACGTGACGCGTTGCGTCCACAAAGCCAAGTTAGTCCCCCTTACCCGACCCGGTCTAGCACATTCACAAACAAGCGCAAGTCTGTCTACTGTTCCTTCTTGGGGCTCGTGATGGCGCTTATCCGACCTGATTGATTAAGACAGCACGACAGAAGGCTCTCATCCCATCGCTGGCTTGCATTCGCTCATCGACTTACTTACCCACAGTGTAATACCCATACTGCGTGACCAGCAGCATTAGAGCCAGATCGAGTCCAGCCAGAAACAGACAGGTCTGACACACACATGCCAAACAACACGGACGGCACCTGACGGCACCTGGCTGCGCCCATATTCTTAGAATGACTCCCATCTATGTACCTGTATGTCCGCCGCGTAAGTGTGGAACCTCTGGACAGTGTTGCGTGCCGATGTGATGGGGCTCCACTCGTACTTGGCGATGCGCGAATGCACCTCCTCCAAGCTTGCTGCAGGGACATCAACCAAGCATATATTCCACACACATGCGCAAGTATTCTTTCTCCCCTCTCGCTGCTCGCGGCTCACTTGCAGCAAAGAAGAAAAACAGACCCAATGCCAGACCCTGCTCACGAATCAATATCACACCAAACGAGGGAGGGAAGATTGTATGCAGTCAGTCGTGTTGCCTGCAGCATCATCCCTCCCCTTCCGGCAGCTGACTGACCGACCTTAGTTAACAGCTGGAAAATGAAGCCCAGTGTGTAGGACATGACGTCCACCCGGCCCCTCACAGACGCACTCTCGTCATCCTGTCCAACCTCAACACCTCCACCAAACGACCACAACCGCCCATCTCTCTCGTGAGATCCATCGCCCTCCGCCTCCCCATCTCTGTACTGCCGCCGCCTGTCCTCTTCACGAGACCTCCCGTGCGCCTGTCGCGCCCTCAGCCGGTTCCATGATAGACGACCCCATCGCATAATGCGTCTCGCGTACATCCGTGGGGAGCAGCCGCATGTCCGGCGCACGAACGCCGCCCAGGGCGATGTGGGAGAGCTCGGTGCCCGCTGCTGCTGGCTCAGGAAGCCGGTGAAAGGCCGGGCTGACTGGGTCTGCGGGGCCACCCTGTTGCCCATCGGCCACAAGCGGCGCCACCCCTCTGAAGTCCTCGACCGCCCATTGGTCAATGCGGTGGTCGACAGAGGCGACGTCACGCTGGCCGACGCAGAGGGGGTGTTGGTGTGCGTGGGCGAGGACACAATGGTCATCCTGTGATGCGGCCGGTCGCCCGGCTCTCTGCTCTCCTCAATATCGTGGTGCTGCCAGTGTCTTGGTGAGACGGGTGGGATGGATATCGACACAGACGAGGGCGGCACACGAGTGCTTGGCGCGGGAGGGGGCAGCAGGGGCGGGGGTGTGATGGTCGGGGGAGCTGGAGGGGGCGGCGAAGGGCCTGCCTGTGACAGCTTTTGCCGTTGCCGCACGGCTGTTTGTTTCATCATTCTCTTGATATACTTGTAAGCGTCCCACAAGAAGAGGCCCAAATCGATGGCCAACGCCACACCCTGACCGATCAATCAACGCACGCACCCCACTCTCGGCCACCGTCTGACTAACTGACAATGTGGTACACGCTGGTCGATTGACTGACCGCCAGTGTAGCGAGTTGCGATGCCTTCATGTGTTGGAGGAACTCCAGCTCGTATGGGCGGGACGGCAGAAAACGCGAATGCTTCAGCCCCTCAGCGACACTGCCACACACACACGCGCGAACATCCAACAATGAACCGACACTAAACGCTTGTGTATGCGTGTCAGTTTGTGTGTGTCTGGGACTCACCTGATCCCAAGTGCCAGCAGCGTGCTGGAAAGCGCCACAGCGAGGGCATGAACAGCAACAGAAAAAATACTCACGGGGGCAGCTACCAACATCAGCAATGACTGATCTCCCGTCACTCCACGATGCTTCCCAATGGTGTGTTGTGCTGCTTTCTTCGCAAGAGCGATCGGGATTGCGAGCTTAGCTTGGGGGAGCCCCCCGTTTTCGTCCTCTCGCGTGGAACTGGTGCGATACACAGGTACAGTACAATCACTCAGTGCATGATTCATGATGCGTCGTGATTCATTCCTTTCTTTGCTCAGGGTGAGAAGCAATTGGCTGAGGCTGGGCTGAGGGGCGGTGTGTTCTCGGGTTTCAGCACTGCAGATGGCGGGGGCTGAGGTGGAGCAATCATCGTCGAGCTCACGTGCCCACCGCAGTTTATCATCCAAGCGAACCTTCAACAAGATACCGCCATGGATCATGACGCTCTTTGCCAATGTTGATGACTCATCATCGAGGGCCCGACATGTTGCTCAGCGGCTGTTTCTGGCTGGCACGTCACGGTCGACGAGGGAGAAACCCCCTCCCGGCATGCATAGATTCAGTGTCCACGGCAAAGAGGTTGACTATGTCGAGACGGTCAGACCAGAGTGTTTCCACACGGAACAACGCAGACCATTGGAGAGCATCTGTGCTGTCTTTCTCCTCTATCCTTCGGTTTGCCTGCAGTCTTTGCTTATCTTCAAGCCCAGTAACGGCATCCTGTTCTCTTTCCGACGGATGTGCGTGTGGATGATCGAGTGGAAATGGTTCGAGCGGCTGGCCCTCACAGCCATCGTTCTCAATTCGATTTCTCTGGCTATGGTCGACCATCACCCCAGCCACCCAGAGCCTTGGCGCGTCAAACTAGAGGAGGTGTCTGAAATCGTCTTTATCGTGATATTCAGCGTCGAACTGGTGATCAAGGTGGTGGGAAAAGGGCTGTGGATGGGGCGGGAGACGTATCTGTCGGACCGGTGGAGTTGGCTGGATCTTGTAGTGGTCGTGACGGCGTGGCTGGAACGGATACTCTACGCACTTATCCCGCAATCGGTCAATCTCACCGTCATCCGGACCTTCAGAGTGAGTGACGCATCCATATGCAGGCAGGCACACACGTTGCTCTCTCTGTCTGGTCATATTCCGGCCGCTGCGGAGCGTCAACGCCTTCCCTGGCATGCGTCTCGTCGTAGTGACTCTCTTCACCTCCCTTCCCAAGCTCTGGAATGTCTTCCTGCTGGCGTGCTTCGTCCTGGCGCTCTTCTCCATTGTGGGGTGCGTGTACTTGCATACACGTGTGTGTCGTATGATGTGGCTCCCTCTGGTTTTTGTGTGTCAGCTTGAACCTTTTCAGTGATGTGTATTGGAGCAGGTGTCGCTTGATAGACCGACCTGTCAATGGCTCCTGGCCGCCAGCAGTGGATATCGATCCTGCGCCATTCGAGAGACCACTTGACAGGTGTGGACGTGCATGTCTGAAATGGCGAATTATGCAGGTGTGTGTTGCTGGTGCGCAAAGGTTTTGTGGAGGCGCCTATGGGTGTGAGGCTCACACAAAGCTATATCGCATGGCCGGCATCGCCAACAGAACATACTGCGGTACGCCCGAGGCAACCAGATATGCACCAGCCAGAGTCTCCAACGGATGACACTTCAGGCAACATGTGGCATGTCTCTGATTCGGAGCTGTCGCAAGATCGATGGCACGAGGTGAATACTTCACCGCATGCACACATGCTTCTGTCGTGTCACTGCTCGCTGACGTTGCGACTGCAGCTGGAGAGCAACCCTGCGGCCGACTACGGTTACACTGGTTTCCATCACATGGGTGTAGCCTTTTCTACCGTGTTTCACGTTATCATGGTGGAGGGATGGACTCAGCTGATGTACAGGTGAGATGAAAGGGAAGGGGCAATCGACTTGATGTACATGACTGGATTCGTTGTCTCATTTGTCCAGGTTTCAGGATGGACACGCGATGAGTTGGCTTGCCTCCCTCTATTTCTCACTGCTCATTCTCCTGGGGGCGCTGGTACGGCCGCGCTCTAATGGCTATCAATAACTGCAAGTCACCGAATCTGTCCCGTTCCTTTGTTTGTTTGTTTGTTTGTTTGGGTCACTTTGTAGTCAACCTGACGGTGGCCGTCATGTGGGAGCGCTATGAGGACCAGCTCAGACAGACTAAGAAGGAGGAGGGCAATGAAGTAAGTAGAAGAAGAAGCCACTGTCATGAATGATTGCAGCGGATTATCCGCAGGACGAGGGGAGTGTGAAGCTGGGGATGAAGCTGATTCATCATATCGCAGAGGCACAGACCACATACAAAGCGGACCATTGCCAACACAGACATGTGATCTGTCTGCTTCCATTCAGGTGGCCACAACCATCAAAAAGCATAAATACGTCCTGGTGACTCACATGGCACCATCTTCACCTTGTGTGTGAACGAGTGCCGCGTGTGTGCTCAGGAGTCGAGTGCCAAGGCTCGCTTGGTGGACGAGTTGCCGACTTCAGAGACCCCACTGTCTCACATCGCAAAAGGCAAACTGTACGGATACACACAGGACGCGTGTATTTATGACCAGACGGTCCATGACAGTCTTTAAACCTGTGTGTCCGTCTATATGTCTTTACCCAGGTGGCTGCAGGCCCTCTGTGCGCGCATTGCATTCCATCCGATGTTTGTGCTGCTGATCCTCGTGTCCATCTTCTGCAACACCGTCGTCTTGGCTCTCGATCGTTATCCGGAGCCTGCGGCGGGGATCACACAGACACTCGACGCCGTCAACCACTCATTCACCGTGAGCGACAAAAGGTCATGATTGGGCCGTGACGAATAGCCGACCGCGACACATACTGTCTGGCGTATTCAGGGTCTGTTCACCTTTGAGGTGCTTATCAAGTGCATCGCATTGGGGCCCGTCGATTTCGTCCGAGACAGCTTCAACATATTTGGTGACCCGTTTAGTTTCCTTGGCTACGCGATATTGACGTAGACCCCTGATGAACGATTCGCGTCCCTGCTCCAGTGCAGATGTGGCGGTCGTTCTGGCTGCCTGGATTGAGTTCTCCATGGGAGGTGCGGGAGCGGCGGGAGCGCTCCGCGCTTTCCGTCTGCTTCGGGTGCTCAAACTCGGTCGCAACTGGACGGTATGAGGATTGGTGAGCATCAAAAGCAGACCACTTGCATGCTTGGCTTCTTGTGTCTCGCTCGCTTAGTCCCTTCGGATATTGCTGGAGGTCATCTCGAGGGCGCTAACCCTCATGTCTTCGTTCTGCCTGCTGCTTTTCCTCGTGATCTACATATTCGCACTCATCGGTATTCAGTGAACGGAAATACCGGGGGCTCGGCAATTGATCACTTTTTTATCAGGAATGCAGCTCTTCGCCTATGAGGTGCCTGAAGATGAAGACGACTCCATAACTCGTCTGAACTTTGATACGTTCCTCGACGCCTTCCTCACAGTGTTTACAGGTAATACAGCACTCAGTTCATTTGGCTGACACGGTATTTCTGTCATTGTGCATCAATGCATGTCTTCAGTGCTGACGGGCGAGGGCTGGAATAGCATCGTCTTCAATTTTGCACGAAATGCAGGTCCCGCGTCGATGCTGTATTTCATTCTTCTTCTCGTCTTCGGGAACCTTATACTCCTCAATCTCTTCCTCGCCATCCTGCTCGGCAGCTTTACCTCAGCGCGAGCATTTATCAATCGCTTGTATCTCAATCGCTTTGTCGACCTGTGTCATGAAATGGGTGTCACGAGGGAAGACGTCGAATCGATCGCCAATGCGGCAGACGACAGCACGCCAAAACGAGCCTTCTCCTTGGCCCAGAAACCGACCGGCTTATCTGTATCCGCTCGGCTGTCGCTATTCTCAAATCTTGTACCCGATGAAGGCGGCAGCGCAAGACAATCAATGGTCACTTTTTCGGAAGGCGCTGTGATGAAAAGTGGCGTGACGCTCAAGCGGCGGAAGACAGAAGATATTCTTCGTCGCTCAGCTGCTAGGAGGAGGTCTCAGATGCTGTCAAGTGAGCAGAAGGACATTTTGCAGTCTGTTCGCCTTATCAAGCAGATGGGGAATATCAATTTCTTGATTAAACGTTTGAAGACGGGGGCAAAAAGGGCAGAGATGGAGAACAAAGATGTTGCGGCTGAGCATGTAGAGCAAGTGAACGATGAGCTTGCTATCGACTTCCTGCCCAGAGCAGGCAAGATAGGTGGGAGACACATTATAGAGAATCAACAGGCATGAATGTCATCTGTCTTTTTTCCGTTTTCAGACGACATTCATGCCTCTACTCCCTCTCATCCACGTAGCATTGAGGTCCCCGGTGTTGTTCATGTACCAGCCGACAAGCCTGAACGGCGACAATCCACAGCGGTCGAGCCACTCGAGGCCCCCAATGAGAAGGGAGCAGCCAGTGACAAGAGGAGCCAAATCAAGGCAGTGGGCAGTGTCGACACTGGCCCGCATGAACACCAAGAGACAGCAGACACAGCCAAAGGGAGGATGCATCGTCTGAAACAGAGAATTAGCGATTTCGCCAGCAACGTTGATGCAGCATTCAACGACGAGAGGGTAGGAAAACAGATACTCTGATGAACGACAGACATTTGTTTTGTTTATGGATGTTCAGTTTGAAGCTCTCCCAACAAGTCCCAAAGCCCTTCTTCATTTATCTCCCTCCCCCCGACGAACCCCGCAGCTACCTGGCCACTCACCGAGAAGGCTGTCTGTCCATGAGCCACCGTTGCCTTTGGATGACCAAGATGAGACTGCAGTGAGAGAGCAGCGCTATTTTCCCTTGCGGGCTCCAGCAGCATGGGGGATGGTACGGGCTATATGTCAGAGAATTGTGGCTAGATCTGAGTTCGAATCCTCTGTCCTGGTGCTAATTCTGCTCTCCGCGGCTCTGGCAGCCACAAACAGCCCTTATGTCGACCCAGACTCGTCGTATGGCAAGGTACACGAGTAAGAGCTACGAGAATATTCCCAGTGTGAGATTCTGCGTGTGGCTCTAGGCTCTCGTGGCTCTCGATCTGATCTTTACAGCAATCTTCACCGTTGAGATGGTCATCAAGTGGACGGCTCTTGGTCTGTTCGGCCAGCAATCTTACTTTATGTCCCCCTGGAATTGTGTCGACTTCGTTGTGGTCTTTTTCGGCTGGCTTGAACACGGAATGCCGACATCTTCGCCCGGGCAGAAAGGGAGCCTAAAGGTGCTCCGGACGCTACGAGCATTCCGTGCCCTGCGTCCATTGCGGATCATTTCTCGGAACACGGGGATCAGGGTTGTTGTTGAGTCACTGCTGTCGTCTGCGCCCTCTCTTGCTAATGTCTTCTTCGTTGGTAGGCACTGCATGTGCTCCGTTAACCTTCATTGCAAGCTAAAGATATGACTTCCTCTCGCGCCTCAGGCCTGCTGTTTTATTTGGTATTCGCAATTTTGGGCGTTAGTCTCTTCAAAGGAGCATTTTATGCGTGCGACTCGTCGGACTCGCCAAATGGCCCTTCAACAAATGCGACACTATCCAACGAGAGTGACTGCAAGGATATCGGTGGCGAGTGGAAGTTGATTTCCGATTCCAACTTCGACAACGCTTTCCACGCCCTCATCGCCTTATTTCAAGTAGGGCGACGAGACATGATCCAGCGGGTTCGTGAATATGCTAATTTCCGTTTCTTTGCAGGTGAGCACTTTGGAAGGCTGGACCGATGTGATGTTTGACGCGGTCGACGCGAGAGGGCCGGGAGAAACACAACAGCGGGACCACAACAAGTTGAACGCACTGTTCTTTGTCACCTTCATCGTTCTGGGCAACTTTGTGACGCTCAACCTGTTTGTGGGCGTCGTCATAGACCAGTTCCACCAGATGAAAGAGAGCATCGACGGAGGTCTCCTCATCAGCCCAGCGAACAAGGTATAGGCCAGCCAGCCGGCCACATGCCGGCTGTATTCATGTGCTGGTTGGTCCATCGTGCTGTGCTGTTCCACAGTGGATCGAGGTTCAAAAATACATATACAGGTAGACAGGCAGACAACAGCTACATGTCTCACTCACGACTCTATGTGTCCTCAGGACAAGTCGTCTGACCCCATCGATGGGCGTCGACACCCATCACAGCAAGCGCCGGAGCGCCACCAGCGACACAGCCAGAAGACGTGTGGCCCGGGCCCTCCTCGCCATGAAGTCCCTCTCAACCCAAGCACAGAGTAGCAGGGGACCGACAAGAGCAGGTGCAACGACTGGACGTACAAGAGCACTGACTGCTGCATCTCTGATGCCCTTTTGCAGCCTTTGCCAGTGATGTTACGAGCCAGCCTTCACCGTCCAAGGGCGTCGTCAGCCGCACCCGGTTCCTTGCAGCCAGGGAGATATTCCGCGAATGGTTGCGCACCAGGGTAACCTCTGCTGGCTTTGACCGGTTCATCAGTGTGTCCATCTTCCTCAACTCGGCCATAATGTCCACCAGATATGTTGGGATAGCAGAAGAACACAGGTACTGACTGAGTTCTTGGCAGAGAGAACACTCATCCCATACACGGCATGTGTGTATGTGTGGCAACATTCCTTGTCCGATCAGCCATGCCTTGGACGTACTCAGCTTTGGCTTCACACTGCTCTTTGCAATCGAGTGTCTGGCCAAAATAGCCGCGTTCGGGCGAATCTATTTCCTCGATCGATGGAACACGTACGTGAGGACACAGCGAAATACACTGCTGACCGTGTCTCAGACAATACTTGTCCTTTCCTCAGCTTCGACTTTACCGTTGTCAGCGGTAGCATCTTTGGCCTGACGGCCAACGCACTGACCGGCGAAGATAAAGGCCTTTCACTCATCCCGCTCATGCGCTCAGCCCGGTTGCTGCAGAGGGCCCAGGCCCTCCGTATTCTTTTTCAGACCATGCTCAACGTGCTGCCATCGCTCGGGAACATTGCTGCTCTGCTGTCTCTCATTTTCTTTATCTACGCCATTCTTGGGATGCACATCCTCGGCACGGTGAAGCTGCAAACCGCCTTGAGTGACCAAACAAATTTTCGAAACATTGGGAATGCCCTGTTGGCCCTCCTCCGCCTGTCAACAGGTGAGTGCATCAGGCAGAGACGTGAGGCAAGAAAAGGCTCCTTTATTTTTGATCAGGTGAGGATTGGCATGAGGTCATGTTCGATTGTACTCGCGGCAGCGATGAGATCGACTGCGAGTCTGATCAGACCTACGAGGAGCTGCAGCGTGACGGCCCTCAGGCGTGCGGCAGCTGGGTGGCTTATATCTACTTCCTTTCCTTCATGCTCCTGGTGTCCTACATTCTCATGAATCTGTTCATAGCGGCCGTCGTTCACGGCTTTTCTGAGACCGTCACAAACGACCACATTGAGAGAGTCCGGACACAGCATCAAGCCTTCATCCAAATGTGGTGAGCGAAACTGGATGACGTACACGCATGTCGTCCTCTCTTGGTGGCTGCACAGGCGTCAACAAACCAAGGCCGGCGACAGGCTAATGCCTCTCGAGGACTTTGTCAGCATTATCGTAGCCATCCCGCCACCAGTCGGCACACAATCGGACTGCCAAGGCACCAGCAGCACACAAACGCGACTCGCATTGCAGTCATTGGCCGACGAGAAGGACCCGCTGCCTTTGAGAGGAGTAGGGCATGACAGGTGAGGAAGAGAAGGGCGTGAGGGGAGCCGAGACAGATGTCTTGTGTCTCTTGTCAGAGTACATATACGTGATGTAGTAATCAATCTTGTAGACCGATCTGCCCATTGGCTGTCGGATCACTTCTGGTCCGCATCAGCAGGCAGCGAGGGAGAGGCCTTTCAGCTGCACCAGCCAGCACTAGAGGTGAGCGACAGGACTCGCCAACAGAAAGAAAGAAACACATACCGCACTCCTGTCCGTTTTGCAGGCCTGGAAGCGCCGCTTTCCTGATATAGATGACGGGCTCCCCTCTTCACAGCCCGCATACACGATCGCCCACCTGCTGGCGGCACGAAAAATCCAGAGTCTGTACAGAAAGTACTCACAGTCAAGAACACGAGTTGTGGTAGATCGACAGCAGGAAGAGTGTGAGATGGAGTCGAGTGAAGCGTGTGTGGTAGTGCCTGAGCGGACATGTGAGGGCAAGGGCAAGGCTGGCGAATTGCCTCCCGAAGAGGAGCACCCGATGCCATCTGTCCTCATTGATGATGCATGTGGCGAGACAGAGGCAGCTCTGTCCTCTTCAGATGGCCAATGACATGATGTATGTATGTGAGCATAGACAGACAGTATCATTATGTTGATGTCTCCTCATACATATCATTTGGTCTACTTCGAACGCACATACAGGTGATGATGACACGAGCCAATACCGATCACACAGCGGCCCAACAATACGCAGCCACGACTGTCACAACAACACATTGGCTTCGGTCCCATCGCCCCAACGCCCGCCCGCCGGGGGGTTTATAGGGCAGTGTCTCCTCTCCCCCTTCCTCTTCCACGTTTCCAGCTTCGGTCCTCTCATAGTACTTAGGGGTCTTGAGCTCCAGGGTGATAGGATACGGCCCCCTGTTCCTCTCCTCCTTTGGCGGCAGCCTCCCCTCCACGTTGTGCACTGACACCTTATATGTCACGGGAAGAATGCAGTCTTCTAAGGTGTATTCGTAGTTGAGGACAGAATGGCCGCCTGACTCTTTTGTGCGGCTGAAGAGCGGCAGGTCGACGGCACGATAAGTTGGTGGCTTCATGCCAAAGACAGACATCGAGACCAATAGACCGAGATACATATTCTGTTGATGATCAGTGCCACTTTCTGTGTACCTACCATGTTGCGCGGACTTTCCATGGAAAGAGGGCCACATGAGGCAGGGAAAGGAAGAGCACACGAATTTGTAGTGGGTTTTTAGATCGATTCCTTTCCACCTACCACGGCCACATCAGGCAGGGCCACATGCTACCTCCAATGCAGCTGCGGAGGGTGCGATCACACCATGATCTCGACATGCATTCGGCGCACTCGGATGAGCACGCCTGGCTTTTGTCTTTCAGGTGCTGGCAATGATCGAAAGATGTGCGTTGCGCACAAGCGAGATAGTCCGCAAAGCAGCCAAGACAGCTTTCTGGAGAACACGCGGGAGACAGACATGCTCGAATCATAAGCTCAGGCCACTGGCCTCCCTCTGGCTTACGCGAGATCCCCTTCTTCGATTGACATGGCCTCATTCCAGTCTTGAAACACTCCTGTGCCTCCTCAATCTGACAGAAGTTGAAGCAGGCCATCGGCGGAAGAAGCATTCCGGTTTTCCCTCTGTTCAGCTGACCATTCCGCGGCCTCCGCCCCCCATCATTCTGATGTCTGCAAGAGAACAGTGTCCCTCCGTCCCTCCCTCGCCTCCGTAGATATACCCGTAGGCAGGTTTGCCTTTCCGCGGCACCATCAACGGCTGGCGACGGAAGGCTACCACAGGGGGAGGGTGCTGAACCGGGACAGGGGCGGGCGGAGGGGCCACAACGACGGCTGCTGGCTGAGGGACTGCGTGCACAACGTGAGGTTTGATTGGCTGCTCGTGCACCACATGCACAGGTACAGGTGCAGGGGGAGGTGTGGAAGCAGGAGGAGGCGGCGCGGACTGGTGGCCGTGAAGGATGTAGGTGTGGCGCGCGACGTTTGGAGGCGCTGCGAGCGGCGGAAGATTGGGCTGCTTGTAGGCTTCAGCAGGATGTGGCTGGTGTAGGGGTGGCAGATTTGGGTTCTCGTGGCGGCCAGGCTGACGGGTTTTGACGTGGATTCGATGCTGGGCCTGCGGATGCCGTGCGCGGGAAGAGAGATGATAGTGCTTGAGGTTACCGGTCCTCTTGACGACATAGAGGGCAGCAACGGAACAGTAAACAAGAGAAAAGAGCGTCAGAAGGCGCATTTCGTCGAACTTCGGGCCGCCTTTTGGCCCCCAGTCTTGCCCCCAGTCTCAGCGGAAATAGTCGGCAGCGTTGCGCAACGCTCACTCAAAATTTCTGTCAAAAGAACGCTGCCCCGGTTTCCGTTTTTCTTTGTCTTTGTTCTGCCCCTTGCCTCTTTCCCCTTTCTGCACAACTTCCCTTCCTTTCGTTATGTCGTCCAGCGCTCCCACGATGGCCGTGCCTCCGCCTCCCGCCTCTGCCGCGCAGCACGACGACGGCCACTGCAAGGTGCACGCGCACATCCCCACCATGAACCGCACCGAGACCTTCAAGAAGGTGACGGCCGCCTCGGGGCAGACGGGAGACGAAGCACAACGCATCGTCGAGGTCAGCGAGCGGGGAAGCGACAGTCAGGAGGGAGAAACCACTGTGTTCCTCCGTGATTGGTATGTCTCTCTGTCTGTGTTGCCCTGTCCTCTGTTCCTGTCAGCTGTTGCGTCATTGGGACAGCGACAAGGACGGTTTGTTCAGCGTTGAGAACGTGCTGCAAGCGGCGCAGACGGTGCTCAAGGAGCAGCGCCGGAACAGGATGCTCCGTTGGGTAGTGGTTGGTGTGCTGGTGGCCTACATCGTCACGCTGGCCCTCCTTCTCGGTATCACCTACGGCGCCATCGAGATGGCCAAGGACGCCAAGCCCGACGAGGACGCAGTGCTCAGAGCCACGCACCTCGCCAACAAGGACGTCGTCCGTAAGCTAACAGCACGACACACGGGATAGCTGACATCACGACACACGGGATAGAGCAGCAGATGTTGTCGGTGCGTGGTGTTTCAGGCACCAAGAGCAAGGTCGACGTGTGGAGTCCGTTTGACGTGGTCGACAAGTCGCTCGCCGACATGGAAAAGGTACGCGCATAGCAGACACCGCAAGCCCCCCCC